CTGAAACTCAGTTTGACTGAAATTGATTCAGCAGTTTCAAAGGAGAAGATTTTTTAAAGTGAGCAAACTAGATGAACAAATTGTGAAAAATTGTCTTTAAAGGGCAATAAATTCTTAAGGGGTCAATTGACAATTTTTGTCATATAAAAACTCATTTGTAGATCTTACTTTGCTGAATATTTTTGCTGTTTACAGTTTATCTTTATCTATAATAATATTCAAGATAATAACCGAAAACTGCAAAATTTCCTTAAAATCATCAATTCTGGGGCAATAACCTAAAAATCAGATATCTGATTTGGCTGATAATTTCTGGACAGGTAGACCATGATCTAATGATATGATTTGCTGTAAATGCTTTAGTTTTTGAGATATAAGTCAAAACTGCATTTTACCCTATGTTCTATTTTAAGCCATGGCGGCCATGTTTTCTGAGGAAATAGAAAATAAAACACAAACTTTATTTTATATAACCGAAGAATCAATCTGCTTAAGTTTGGTTTAATTAAGTTCAGTAGTTTCAGAGAAGAAGATTTTTTAAAGTTAGAAAACATGATAAACAAATTGTGTAAAATTGTCTTTAAAGGGCAATAGTTCCTTAAGGGGTCAATTGACAATTTTGGTCATATAAAAACTTATTTGTAGATCTTACTTTGCTGAACATTTTTGCTGTTTACAGTTTATCTTTATCTATAATAATATTCAAGATAATAACCAAATACTGCAAAATTTTCTAAAAATTACCAATTTAGTGGCAGCAACCCAACAATGGGTTATTAGATTCATCTGAAAATTTCAGGGCTGATAGAACTTGACCTAATGAACATTTTTACCTAATGTCAGATTTGCTTTAAATGCTTTTTTTTTTAAATATAAGCTAAAAACTGCATTTTACCCCTATGTTCTATTTTTAGCCATGGTGGCCATGTTTTTTGACGAAACAGAAAATAAAACACAACTTTTATTCTAGATACCTAAGGATCGTTCAGTTTATGTTTGATTGGAATTGGTTCTGTAGTTTCAGAGGAGAAGATATTTGAAATAGTTTACACCGGACGGTCGACGACGACGGACGCCAAGTGATGGCAAAAGCTCACATTTCCTTTGGAAAGGTGAGCTAAAAAGGAGATGTGGTATGATTGTTAATGAGACAACTATCCACAAAAGTTCAAATGAAATGAATGTAAGCAATTACAGAAGAGAGGGACGAAAGATACCAGATGGACAGTCAAACTCATAGATTGAAAATAAACTGACAACGCCATGGCTAAAAATAAAAGACAAACAGACAAATAATAGACAAACAGACACAACATAGAAAACTGAAGACTAAGCAACACGAACCCCACCAAAAACTGGGGGTGATCCCAGGTGCTCCGGAAGGGTAAGCAGATCCTGCTCCACATGTGGCACCCGTCGTGTTGCTTATGTTATTACAAATCCGGTAAATAGTCTAATTCGGTAGGTCACATTCGTGAAAAGGGAAGGGTATTGTAGTATAATAGGCCCGACGTGAAAAATATGAAACAATTCAGTTGAGAAAATTAACTGCCTAATCTATAACAAAACAATTTACGGAAAACAAATATGACAGACATGAACCAACGACAACCGCTGAACTACAGGCTCCTGACTTGGGACAGGCACATAAAGAACGTGGCGGGATTAAGCATGTTTGAAGGCGTCAACCCTCCCCTAACCTGGGACAGTGGTGTATAAACGGCACAACACAAGAATAATCTATGCAAAACAATAAACGAAAATTGAATATGAGAAACAGAAAAAACGACAACAACTCAATTACAAGCTCCTGACTTGGGACGGCGCATATAGAATGTGGCGGGGTTAAACGTGTTTGGAGGCGACAACCCTCCCCTTAACCTGGGACAGTGGTGTAACAGTACAACATAAGTAAAAAATATAAAAATCAGTTGAAAAGGGCTTAACATCAAATTGATACAAAGCAGAAAAACCATCTAACAAAAACACATACCTGACGTGGCAGGGTATTTATACATCTCTCACGTGTAAGCGTCACCCTCCATGTGAATCAAGGCTAAGTCAACAAGCAGAAAGTTGTCGGGTCTCGGACATACTCAACAATATTGCTAAAAGTTATAAAAGCCAAGAGCCTTAATGATTCACCTGGTAAAAAATATGCCATTTTGATATTTATTCTTTTCTGTTATTGCAATCAGTTATGCTTGCTTATTTGTAGATCTTATTTAGTTGCATTTTTATAGGTCTTGTAAAAAGGGATAACACAATTTTGTAAGGGCAATAACTTTTAAAAGCTGTCAATTGACAATTTCTGTTAAGTTGACTTGTTTGTAGTTTTATTTCGCTGAACACTTTTGCTTTCACAATTTCTCTCTAACTTTTATACTTTCTGTAAAAAAAAAACGCAAAAATTAGTAAAATTAGTCTTTCAAGGGCTCCTATAAGAGGTTAATTGACGATTCGTCCATGTTGACTTATTTGTAGATCTTATTTTGCTGGACACTTTGACTTCTTACAATTTCTCTCTGTAATAGTTCCTGCCAACAAAAAAAAAACCCAGTAAAATTAGTCTTTCAAGGGCAATAAATTATATAAGGGTTCAGTTGACAATTCGTCCATGATGACTTATTTGAAGATTTTACTGTTCTGGTCATACAAACAGTTTGAAATTTCTATCTATATGTTAGAGTTTTGATCATAATAACTAAAAACTGCGAAATTGGCAAAAAAAAATCAATTTCAGGGGCAATAACTCCAAAATGGGTATTTTATTTTTCTGAAGATTTCAAAGGTACATTGTATACAGACCATGACAGAGCACCCAGAAAATAGACACTGACCAGCAATCCTTAGCTATGTAAGATTTGCTTTAACAGCTTTAGTTTTTGAGATATAAACCAAAAACTTACATTTCAGGGGCAACAACTCCAAAATTGATTCTCCGATTTTCCTAAAATTTTAAAGGGGTATAGACCATGACCTGCTGATCAGTTTAATCCCATGTCAGATTTGCTCTAATTGCTTTAGTTTTTGAGATATAAGCCAACAGCTGCATTTTACCCCTATGTTCTATTTTTTGCAACAGCGGTCATGTTTGTTGATGGAAATAGTCCCAAGACACAATCTTAAAACTAGATACTCTAATAAAAATTTAAGTGAAGTTTGGTTACATATGGTCCAGTACTTTTAAAGAAGATCTTTTAAAATTTTAAAACCATGGAAAGACGACGGACAACAACGATGACGGACGCATAGTGATATCAAAAGCTCAACTGACCTAAAAGGCCCGGTGAGCTCAAGTGGGCAGTGGTTCACTTGACCCTGGCTATTAACCTGTCAGGGCTGGAGGTCCATAATGAAAAAAATGATTAATTTAATAAATTTCACCTAAAAACAAAGATTCTACCGAAATTTATCTCTTTATATCTGTCGTGTTGAGAATTCTTGTTTGATGCCTTAATATGCAGAAATGTGGTCGAACACTCTTCATGTTCGTGTTCTCCCGACTCTGGCAAATCTCTCGAGAATTGTAAATCTAATTTCCATGAAATATAATATCAATATTAAACTGTATATCATCTTTATTAAAATGATATCATTATCAAAGTTCAAAATTTGTGCAGAAATGTATTTTATGATTAAAATTCTTCCAGCTTATGACCAGTAGCGATATGGTGCAGATATCGTAAGATTTATTGTTAAATTTCAGTCAATCAAATAGATCACAAAAGGTTTTTAGTATCATACTTCCAACTTTTCTTTGAAATAAAACAAATAACAAGCATTCTGAGAGTATTGCATGGCAATACAGTCCCCTACCGGTTAAAAAATCATTTTACTGGAACAAAATGCTTACTTGATCTATAACTTGTCATGGTGTAAACTATATAACAAATATCAAGTCAATATCTTCAAACATGACGAAAAAAAAGTGTGGAAAACTGATTATTTAAGTGAATTTTCTAAGTCCAAGGACCATAACTCTGCACAAAATATTCAGACCAGAACAAAATTCGAACTTGATCTGTAGCTTGTCATGATAAAACTATATACCAATTATCAAATCAATATCTTCAAGCATGACGGAAAAAGTGAGAAAAACTGATTATTTGAGTGAATTTTCTAAATTCTAGGACCATAACTCTGCACAAAATCTTCAAACCGGAACAAACTTCGAACTTGATCTGTAACTTGTCAAGATAAAACTATGTACCAAATATCAAATCAATATCTTCAAGCATGACTAAAAAAAAAGTGTGGAAAACTGATTTGCCGGACTGACGGATGGACAGACAGACAGACAGACGGAGTGCAAACCTAAAGTCCCCTTCGACTTCGTTGGTAGGGGACTAATAAAAAAAATTGGTCATTTTCTGATGTGATATGTTTCATATTGTTTTTATATTTCATGGCAAATTTCCTTGTGAAAGTTAAAGCGTCAAATATAAACTACGGCAAGTCTCCCGAGAATGCACAATCACAAAGGTGTCAGCTTTTCACATTGACCTGTTTCTAATGTCAAATAACTTGCATTCTTTTTAAGAACACACGGCATATTGCTTAACGACAGTAAAAGCTATCTGAAGAGAACACTAGTCTGGCCTGAAGTTTTGATTTGTTTTACAATTTCTGGGCCTTTTATAGCTTACTATACAGTATGGGTTTTGCTCATTGTCGAAGACAGTATGGTGACCTATAGTTGTTAATTTCTACATCATTTAGTCTGTGGTGGAGAGTCGTCTCATTTGCAAAAATACTAAAACTTTTTTATACTAAACTACCAGAGCATCAAATTTGTACTTCAAACTTTATCCTATAGAATATTTTATTGTTTTTATATTTCATGGTAAATTCCATTATAATATGAAAGCCTCTATTTCCTCCTACATATTCTGACCTTTCTAAGGGGTCACTGTTATGTAAGATGGTCTGAGGATTAATGACATAGTCTATAAGAGTGTAATTATATACAAGGCAAATCTAAAACAATAAGATTACAATATAAATATGATCTCTTTAATCTTAAAAACAATAATACATTTTGACTTTGATTAATAATATTTGAATGGTAGTACAAATGTTGACTGTAACAAATAATACTCTGGAATGTTTCAAGATATGATATAATAATATACAATACCAATAATAACTATATTTTATACTGAATAATTGTAAAAATCCAATATAATTTCTACTTTTATTTAGCATTGCCGAGCTGAATGTCTGACATACTATATGATATTCATTAGATATTTGGCACATGAGATATGCAATGTCATATCTCATTATTGGAAAGGAAATTATAGAAATATTAAAAGACTACATAAATCAGAAACAAAGTACACACTAATGTTTGGCCTTGTCTATGATTACTTCAAATGGATAGAAATCATTAGTTTGAAGTTTGTATATTTGGTAGACCAGATAAAGGACTACATTAAATGAGCAGAAAATGTTAAACAGAAATTCTATCTGTCATGTACATACAAAACTGCTCTCTTTATCTATTCTTAGTTTATGTTAGTTGTTACCTTGATGGTCAAATTGTTATTTTGTTGGTAGGTCTTTTTATTGTATGCTTGCCTTTGAAACACGTAGTCTTGGCAGATATAATGGAGGTTTAGGTATCAGCTATCTAATCTTTATTCTATTTTAGCTGATTTTTTTTTTCTTTGATGGAAAAGTGTTTTTTTTCCAAGGATGTCATCAAACAATACCAAGACTGGACAAATTACAGTGGATTCATTATTATTCGCTGTATACCAATTTTTGTCAAATTTTATGTACAGGTGAACCACGATTTTGAAAGTTCAACAAAGTACAAATTTTCTATAGGGTATGCTTGTAGGTTTGTATGCAGACTTTCGAACAACAACAAAATAAAATATCCACGAAAATACATTTTTTTCCTCCATCCACAAAAATTAGAACCAATGAAAAATAAATGAATCCACAGTATTGTATAACATTGATGATTACTTCATACTGTAAATCTTTTCACAAAATTCTTACTATTTGACCATTTTATACTTTTTGAATTTCTCCAACAACTAACCAGAGATTTTGGGTCACTTGACCTATTGATCTTAACAAGGATCACATTTGCACTGTCATATAGTATTCTTCTATCTTATGACCAGTAGCAATATGGTGCAGATATCGTATTAAAGATTCATTGTTAAATTTCAATTAATCAAACAGATCACTAAAGGTTATCAGTATCATACTTCCAAATGTTCTTTGTAACAAACAAATAATGAAACACAAATTGGTCTTTTCCGGGTTAATAACTATTTAGTTTAATGTTGAAAAGGATAAGAGGCATGTTTTTACAAATGTTCAAAACAGAATTAATTATGTGCAGACTTCTGACCTTGGAAAATATAGTTATAATGACTGCAACATACATAGGTGCAGCTCAAATTTCTAAATTTATGAACAATAGTTTAGTTTAAGCATTGTTAAGTGAAATAATTGTGAAGCCTAAATTTTCAGTCATGATCTTGTGAATTTGAAAAAAATTACCTTGTTCAATGTTTAGATTTCTGGTCAAGTACATTTCTTGAGTAATGAGTGAGTTATATATTTACAGATATAAAACGATGTTAACATTTCCAAGTCATAGTTTGAAATATATTTGACTCTAAGGTCAATTTGTCCTCTATTGTACCTTCTTCTTTAACATACACATTTATTAACAGCAATACTGTTAACACACCACAAAAGTAACATCCGTCTCATCATTGGATGAATGTCACAGACAACAAAAGTTGTAATTGCATAAAACACATCTTTATACTCAAATAGCAAATTGAAACTGTATAAGATTTAACCAGTGTAAAAGAAATAGTTTATTATACCAATTCAGGTTGCCTAAATTAATTAATGCATAATAAATACAGAACTAATTTAAATATACAATATTTTGCACCAATATAATATAACAGAATCATTAACTTTACAACTCTGAACTCCATAAATAGATTACTAAAATTTTACTTTTATCACAAATTTTATATTGCACTTAAGAGTGGTTGTTAAGATTTTTTAATTTTATCAGTAGCAAAAGAAACCCAAGTCTCTGAATTTTAATATTTAGTGTGAACATATTTACAAATCTTTTTGATGTAATACATAACATGATATGTAAAAAGCATCTAATGATCAACATTTATAAATGCACATACAAAGTGTTATAACAAGGCCTGAGAATACACCTCGCAGGAAATACACATAACTATTGTTATTATTACACACAGCAAGCAAAAGCTTGATACAGTTTGAACAGTTTGGATCCATGTGAAAAGAGTCTTTAGCAAATAGAATACACAATTTATCAATATATCTGTAAACATAATGCATACACCTTATATATTTCAGCTTTCATAAAAAAAGCACGATTGTTTCCAATATAATATTTTTTTAACATAGGAATGAATGTAAGATTATGAATAAACTGATGCTGCATTTTCAAATAAAATTACTTAAAGTCCTATATAACATTAGCATCTCTTTCTTGGTTGACTGTTTAATCAAAGAAGTAGGTTAGATAAGGCCCAAAAATGGTCCCTATTTCTAGCTAATATTTTCTTAGAGTTATACTTTTTTTCCTATCAGTATAAACAGTCTATTATCACAAGGAGACATAGTTTAAACAATGACTATATAGAAAATATGTTTTTTTTTGTAGATTTACTTATAAGTGTTCTATTTATGATTTCACAATAAGCACCAATTTCAATCTTCTACCAAATTGAACTTACACAGGCAAAATTTTTCATTGGTTTTCAGGAATAGAACACATAGCATATGCTTCTGCAAAAAAGATCCCGTAACATTATGTTTGATATAAAAAATAAAATATCTGACTTGCATATTTAGTTTGTCAAAGCCTGACCTCTATGTTTCCTACGCCCGAATCTGTTGAAATCTAGTAGATTTTGTTAAATTTAAAAAAAAATCTCTACTTTTTTCCATTTTAGAGTGTAAATGTGTACGCTTCATTAGAAAAGTTACACAAAAACAATTCTATTTCATTTTCTTACATGTTTATCAACATACTTTTGTAGAGGACTTGATGTTTGTTGCCAAATAAGGTCCTTATCACACCTACCCCTTTACATAAATAAGCATATCATGGTTACATCACCTTAAATAAAACAGGTTTTAATCACTTTCACAAAATTTTATTACCAACACAAAAATTAAATGAGATTTTTTAGTTGACCAACCAGAGATTTTAAATCAAATAATCTCCATTAATGTTAATGTTGTATCATAACTCTTAGCTTACCATTGAGAGGAGATAACATTTCTGTAAATGGTCTGCTAAATGAAGAGTATTATTAAGAAACTAATAATTTACATGGAAATTGTATTTTTTTATTTGACATGAAATTCGACCTTCAAAATTTATTTTTTTCTGTTACTATATTTAAGGAATCATTTCTTATAATTTAATTCTAAATTCCATTTTTAACCGGAGTAAACCATGAAAAAACGTTGATGACGTCACGGTCACATGACAAAATTATGTCTATGAGCTGATAAACAAAACAACATCAGCCAATCAGAAGATGCGTTACATCCAAAATTAAATTATTTCTTAATAAAGATAATTTGTATGCACATTTTCCTAATTGCAGGGGATATCTTTCAGTTATCAATAGAAATCTTTATTTGTTCACTTCCAAACAATTCATGACAGAGATATGTACTTACAATGGTAATTAAAGCCTTCTTGAAAAGTTTTAACTTTTGTAGAAAAATGCCCCTTTTTTATCTATTAAAGGAATAATTCATGCAATCATCTATAGCATCAACAAAAATAGCCGATGCATGTTTAATTGTGATGTCATTCATGCATGAGAACACCATGTTTTGTTGAAATTACAACATGGCTTGGTTTACACAGCAAAGGAGCATCATAATAGAATATATGATAGTTCTATGCTGAATATTTTTGTTCTTCAGATTTTGATATCATGAATTATTTAAGGATATGAAGTATTTCAGATATTTTCAAGGTATTGTTTATGTGAAAATTGTAAGAAATAGGTTGCTGGCTTTCCTCTTAAAACAAGGCTTATAGTCATAAAAACAAAATTCCTCTATGTGAATTATGAAAACTATATTTTTCAAGTAACCTAAAATGCATTTAGTTTTGACTACTATGAAAATTAAAAATAATAATAACAAAATTGTGTGAAAGTGTGTAATATATTATAACATATGGCAGTATAATAACAATAAAATAGAATCAATCTGAGTCTTCTTCATCTCCATAATCTTGTGACAATGTCCGTGGTGCAGCTGTAATAAACATTGCAGTCATCAATTACATACACAATATAAATAAACACAATGTAGTAAATAGTTAAATATAGATTCTATCACTGCATCAAGTGTGAAATGATATTTATCTTATCCCCTTGAGATAGTTAAATTTTCAAATTTAAAACGTGAGGCTCGCTGAGCGTTTTAAATATTTTAAATTTAACTGTTGAGATTTGGTGGTGGAATCTGTTTCTCTAATGAATTTTAGACGATATACAGACAATCTTAATCTTTCTTTTCCAATGATTTGCAAAAAGATGGGTTCTTTCTATGTGACGTCATCAGGCATGGTAGCTTTTTTTCATGACATCACAATAAAAAATTCAGAAGAGAGCAAAAAAATTTGACGTCATAATTGAATTTTGACCAGTGAAGAACTGAGATCAAACGAACCAAACATTGATTAAATAAAAATAAATAACAGGTCAGGAAAAGGATAAATTGGGTAAGAATTATAGAAAAGTTAATATGATAACACAATATTAAGAAACATAAAGATAATACAATTTATACAAATACACAAATTAAAAAAAAGTAAGAAAAGCTCAGACTTCAAGAAATGACTAAATTCCTTTCAATATATAGCTGTTGTTAATATATAATCACATGAAATCTAGGTTCTGTCTGATTGGAAACAATAGACAGATCTCTGCACAATAATCTGCATTCATGTTTAATCTTTACTATCCATACAATTGAACAGTTCATATTTTTTATTAAGAATTTTTTTTTCTTAGTTTTTTTGTCATTACATAGATGAACACTTGTTATGAACATTTTGATATTATAGTATGTAATTGAATGAAATAACAAAATTAAGACATACCTGCTAATTTAAGCTGTGCTAATGTTTCAGGATCTTTAGCTAAATCATATGGACGTTTTCTTTCATTATTTCTCACATCGACCTGAGCACCTAAAAACAAAGTATATTTTTCATTACTGGTATAATGATCAAGACAATAAATTTTTTATTCAATTTCTGTTATTTTGAGATCACTTGAAAGTTGGGGTCCTTTTTTCAAACTATCGAAATTAATCATAGATTTGTGGCATCAGAGACATATTATATTGTCTCAGATGGCATCAACGAACTTGCATTGACAGTTTCGTTGCATTTACTTCATGAAGTTTCTTACCTTTTTTTTTTTTCTTACTTAAGAAAAAGTTATGAAAAGCAACAGTTTAAAAAAAAATTAATGACTTAAATTGTAAATTTCTCAGAAATTGCTTACACACCTTTCCATTTTTGAAGTGGAAATGAAAACAGGAAGTTTCAAGTTACCACTAATTTAGGAGTGAATCCAGGTTCATTTACGGAATTCATTCTGTTCATCAAATGAGCTGAGTCAGATAGAAATCGCCATTATGCCAGTGCACATATATATGTACATATATAAGACTTTGTTTGATTTTTGAACATTGAAATACAAAATAAGAAGATGAATATTATATGTTTTGTAAATTTTCTTATAACAGCTCAATTTTCAAACAGTTACAGACTTTCCATAGAGATTTTTTCATCCTAAAATAGGTTAACAGATGTATTGATATTCATTTGCATAAGGTTGATTTCTATCCTACGCAGCTCAAATGACAGGAAATCATTGTATTCTTTATTTCATTACCTGTAAACATGTTTGAATATAACTTATAATACAGTCGAACCTCGTTGTGTCAAAGTCGAAGGGACCGGACCAAAGTATTCGACTCATCCGAGGTTCGACTCATCCGAGGTCGAGTGTGTCGTCAAAATTTGGAATGCAAGAAATACGGTATGAAATTTGCGTAAACTAGATCATTGACTTTGAACAGTGTGCCTTTTTTTTCGACATGACACACTTTATAATTGTGTATGCAATCGCCATTGTTGGTCCTTCATAATAATCAAACACACAAGAACAGATACAAATCATGCACAAATAAAATCAATAGTCTACACACATATTTATAAAGGTCAGTCACTATAAATTATGAAATCATTCGCGGAACGAAATAAGTTCTGAACGGTCTCTGATTAGGGTGTCTGCTGTACATTAAATTATCATGAATTTATGATAATTGGCTTAATCCTTTATTTATTGTAATTAATGAGTTTTAATTCTAACGATTGATTTAATCTCGGCTAGTGTCATTTAAATTCGTTTTGTTTTTATCTCATGTGAAATATGTTCAACACTCTAAAGTTCCGCTTGAACAATCAACAAAGGTGTTAATTACCGGCAACCATAAACATGTCAATTTAACTGTTATACAAACAAGTATGTTTACTCAGCTTTTAATCTCTTTTGAAAATTTGATTGGGTTACATAAGAAATACATCCGATTTGAGTTTTTATCATAAGTTCTGCATCTTTGGAAAATTCTTACTTTCGAACTTCGAGACATCGGGGTCAATTTACATTAATTTTATATCGACGGGACTATAAAATTTACTCGACATAACCGAGTATTCGAATCAACCGAGTTCGACTAATCAGAGGTAATTATGCATTGATCAAACGGGAATTTTACCGGGACCGATAAATTACTTCGACTCATCCGAGTTTTCGACACAACCGAGTTCGACACAACGAGGTTCGACTGTAGTTTCAATGGATTAATTTAGCATGAAATCATTTTGTATATAACAATTAAGTGTCTAATCTGATGAAGACAATTTCATGCATGCATATTACAATGTAAATAAAGCACAAGTTTGTCTCATGAAAAATTACCTTTTTCCACATCATATAATAAAATAAATGGGGAATGTGTCCATGGGACACAGATGATGCCCCCGCTTGCATATCATATAAAGTTATAAAGGGACATAACTGAAGAACGGTAAAAGTGACGCTACCCAAATTTGTACTTGATCTGAGTTTTGTGGTAATAAGTATTGTGTATAAGTCTCATAACATTTGGTTGAGGCTAACTGAAGTTGGAGAACAGAAACGAAAAATTCAGCAATTTTTCCGTTTGTAAACAAGCATAACTCTAGAACGGTAAAAGTGACACCACCAAAATTCAAACTTGATCTGTATTTTGTGGTAATAAGCATTGTGTATAAGTTTCATAACATTTGGTTGAGGCAAACTAAAGTTAAATGGAAACAAAAAATTCAGCAATTTTTATGTTTATAAAGGGGCATAACTCAAGAACAATAAAACTGAGGCCACCCAATTTCAAACTTGATCTGTATTATGTGGTAATAAGCATTGTGTATAAGTTTCATAACATTTGGTTGAGGCAAACTCAAGTAAGAGAACGGAAACGAAAAATTCAACAATTTTTCCATTTGTAAAGGGGCATAACTCAAGAACGGTAAAAGTGACGCCATCCAATTTCGAACTTGATCTGTATTATGTGGTAATAAGCATTGTGTATAAGTTTCATAACATTTGGTTGAGGCAAACTAAAGTTAGAGAATGGAAACCAACTTTGGGACGTACGTACGGATGTAGGTACGTACCGACATACAGATGGACAAGGGTAAAACTTAATGCCCCCTCCGCCACGGCGGGGGCATAAAAATAATTCTAAACTCAGAATTAGTGATTGTCTTTGCTGAAAAGTTATTAAATAATGAAGTGATCATAATTTGTCATGGAAAAGAATTTCTTTATAATATTAGCATGTAAAAAGGATAAGTGATCATTAGCCAATATCTCCCGGAGGCATAACTATAATTATTGGGAGGGTCCTCAGGATTATCATGCTATACTCAAGTGGCAGTATTGTTATTGGAAAAGCAATTCTAAACAAAAACTTGAGCAAATAGGCGATTAAGAGATCCGATCTCAATGAAATGACCAAAACTTATTTTGTAAATAAATACTTTTTGGACCTAAATCCCAATCTGCCATTTCAGTCATTGGCCTTTCAGTTTAGGTCATGTCTGGCAAATATGACCACTTCCGTCCCCTTGATCATAATGATCTTTAATCAAATATTTCTCATTCATCTTACAAAATGATTTTGTATTTTGTTTTCCAAACTGTTAGTGATAAGTGTATTGATAGATAGATTGTAGTTTACTTTATATCCAGTGGCAAATATGTCATGCATGTTCATGACAAGAACAATTAATACAATAGGTAAGTTAGGAGGGTGTTGAGGGTACTTTATATAAAAGGTAAAAATGCAAATGCTAAAAGAATTTAAAGAAAACAATTTCTCTGATATTTTTCAAAATAGTGCTACAACTTTAGAATTCATTTAACATCCTTTAAAAAAAATTGACTACAGAGATATATTGGGTTAACAACAATAACACAGCAAACTGAGGACACAATAAAAACAATCATTGTTAAACTAGTTTTATTTAGATCTCATCCTTTTTATTTCAATCCATAGAATATTAGAACAAGATACATGTAAGAATAAACAATAACATTCAGAACAGAAATAAAGCATTTAACTATAATACAAGGTAAGTCCATAACAATATAAATGTTTATAAACATACCATGTTCTATTAATAATTTAACCACTTCTGGGTGACCTCTCCATGCAGCTGAGTGTACTGGAGTATCTCCTATTTTGTTCTAAAATCAAAATTATAATTAAAATAATTTTAATAAGAATTGTTAAAACATTGTAATTTTTCATATATTTGTTACTTATAGATCACTGGGGGAAAGTTGTGAAAAATATTTGGTTCTGTATATAGATACAGTGTACATGTATATGAAAATGACAGATACCTAACAATATAAAACAAACCAGAAAAGAAATTCTCATTCTGTAGTTTGTTATTCATTATTTATCATAAACATGATAAGCAGTTGTAGGACATAAGCAATAGTGTAGTAAAACAGTATTAACCCCCTTTATTCATGGAAACTTGGGTAAACATGAATTAAAGCCCCTTTAAAACTAATAATATCCTGTCATTATTTTCAGCCTTTATATGAAAAATATCAAGACAAATCTCAAACAAAAATACCGTTTTCATTGAAACAAAGTCAAAGAGGAATAACCTGTGTACCCAGTTTATAAAACTTGTCACATTCCAATATAAATAGGACAATGACTTTAAAATCTAATATCAAGATTATGCAGTAACGTTTGAGTTCAGTCTACCGTAGTATGGAAAAGACTACTCATATTTAAAGACAAAAATTCTAAAAAATATTTGAAACTTTGTGACTTTTGTAGATATAAGTGTCTATCTTCTGTACTGCTATAAGGCTGTGCTTTTTCAAAGGTGACATATATCTATATCTAACATAAATTTACTATACATACCTGAACATTAACTTGACAATTAGGTACAGCTAGTAAGATCTTTACACAATCTATATGGCCACCATGTGCTGCCCAATGCAGAGGTATTGATCCAGCTTTATCTAAACCATTCACTGAAACCTGTAACATACCAGCTTTGAATAAATCCCAAATTATTTTACACCTTATCAAAGAAGATTGACACTATCAATGAAATGACAATAACCAAATCTGTTCCGTTATCTTGTATCCCAGGACGGTGTGGTAACCTGCTGAAGTTACTTGTAGTAAATACACACTTTGTAGTAATGATGTTTCTTGAAAGTTATCAGTCAAGGATATAACTCTATAGGGTTATTACAGAAAAATAACATACATTTGTTATTGTGGACTAAAAAATCAAAGAACTGTGATAACATATGTATGTTACATGTTTCAAAGGGACAATATACATCATTAGCTTTGTTAAAATGTATACAGGTTCTATTGATATTACTATTGTCTTTATGTAAACTTAACTATAAAAAGATATAACAGTTCATAGCTTGCCAATCATGCATAGTACACCTATGTTATTACAGAAAAAATATGCCTATAATAACTAACGGGTGTTATTACAGCTCCTCTACATCACTCCTAAGCATTTGCTCAGACATTCATCATGATTAATTACAATGTATTTTAATTTATTGTAAGAAATAATGATCAGAGCATGTATCGAGGTTCTGCACAAGCTTCCCAGTAATTCCCAAGTGTCTTATATAACAAGTTAAATGCCTTTAATAACTGAGCCTTGTTATTACAGCTAAGTATATCCCTTAAAAGCCTTGTCTCATTGATTTACCATGGTTAATGAAAAATGTATTAATTTAATCCAAAAATTAGTTATCAAGGCTATGCATTTAGTTTCTGCGCAAAGTTTCAAGAGTTCCCTAGAGCCTACTAAAAATAAAAATATTTATGATTTATTTTACAAATAACAAACATATGTTTTTACAGATTTAGAAAATTTAAGCATTAAAGAGTAGACAACTCATGAAATTATCTGTAATAACACATGCAAGTTATTTTCTGTAATAACCCTATAGAGTTATATCCCTGACTGGTTATGATACTTACAAAGTGTCATCACATAATATTATAAAATTCTGTTTCTCCCATGTACATGATGTAAAATCAACTTCCAAAGTCAGTAAAGATATGACTAAAATCCAACAAAAATGTAAACAACAATGTACTTAAATTAACAAAACTACACCCAAAACCAAACATAAATTAGTACAAAATAGTCCTCAATTAATAAAATAACAGATAAAATCAATTGAACTTGATGAAATTAGTTTACTTATTTATTTTGACTTAAGAAATTCGAACAAGTACTTTAACCTCCTGCACACATGTGTTTGAGATTCGAAATGTATTCTCAGGTTTTGTCTATCTATTGACAATACAAAAATAACAAATTTTGAGATCAAACTTAACAATCCGATTATAATGCCCGTTTTTAATTTCATATTGAAAATTAAGGAAGTGATTTGTATGGATCAATTAAATATTTATCCAAAGATCAAGAGTACAACATGTGACTATATAAACATCTACCGGTCATGATTTATGTATCAGTAATACATTAAATAAATATAAGGGACAGCAAAATATTGCCTTTTTATTACTTGCAGTGTTCTCCCCAGGGCCTTAAAGGACCGCGGGCCCGCGATAAATAATTTTTTACCGTGGTGGTATCGTTCTTACCGCGATGTATAATATTTCTCCGTGGTGCTAAAATTTTTAGTTAAAAAATCGAAAATCGGTAAAGTTTTAAACGACTTGTTAAATCTTTTCCGTGCGGTATAAAATTCCAGGTGAAATTTGACCAGTTCAAACCAGTTCAGATTGTTTACACCATGTGATCGATTTACCTTTATGAGGTTAACCTTTGTTGATTGGATTTAATCGATGTAATTAACACTTGTAAAATGATTCTTTTGTGTTTTAATTAAGAGATAACTATTTTATGGCTTCACTCACCACCTGACAAGTCGGCAAATACTTTGTACACAAACCGTGTTGACCCGATAGTTGTACACGACGGTACACATTGTGTACATTATAAAGTTGGCTCATTACGTATAATTGACCATTATACACTTCTCAATACTTATATAATAGTATTATATGTCTCTGATTAAACCATGGCCAAATTATCTTTAATTTTGACATAGTTTATATTGCATGATATTCCGGTTTCAAACTATCATAGTATCTGTCAACAAGTAATTCAAAGGGGACGGATCACATGATCCAGTTAGTTCACATAGAATACCCAATATTATTTACAATTAACTGCAATCATTTCTATTTTATAAATAAAATGCATGACTGTACCTTCAAACTGGATATCTATATCCATATGATAATTAATGAATAACAGAAGTGATTTGCAAATTTTATCCATAAGCACATGTTAAATCTATTTATATCTACTTCCTGTCATTTAGGCGGGAAAATAGGGAGACTTTGTTGTTGACATTGAATAGGGTTAATTATAGATCTATAGAACTAGGATAAATATATAGATTTAGGAATTCTTTTTAAATGGATCATGACAAAAAAAAAATTAGATTTCAGTGCAGTATTAAGTCTGTATCTATGTTTGATTATCACTAAAGACAAGAAAAGTTAATATTTACATGAAATCTAAGGCAAAATGTTTTGAAATTTATGAAAAATTTCTTTTTATTAAAATTTAAGATTGAAACTGGTTCAAATAATAATACAACATTTATTCTTGTTAATTTTATATCTCCTTATGACAGGAATCCTTTCACAATACAACATCTTTCATTCTAGAAATAAGAAAGTTTTTTAAATTGAACATTTTTGTTCTCTTTTGAATGATTCTTATCATTGATTTTATAAAAGATTTAATAACTTTAAATTTAGATGAATATTTTGTAATGTATCATGTTTTATTTATTTTTAAAAAATATTAAAGTTATGATGATACATGTCAAACTGTTTATTGATTTACTTCTTTTTTACCAATAATTTTCAATGTCTACATAACACAGTACCACAGCAATAAAACAAAACAGGAGACATAAAAACTACAGTTACTAGAAATATAGCTAAGTGACGCGACGCGACATAACTGATTGTATGAATCATTTCACCAAGCAGTCCACACGCGTTACCCTGGTGCTATCCAAAAATCCTGGGGAGAACACTGACTTGCTTTTGGTATGTTTTAGAAATTACAATGTATTAGGTGTAGTTATTGCTTATCTAAGTTAAACACTTACATTATTATTCAAACATTCCTGTAGGAAAGGTACATTCCCTCTCTTTGCTGCTTCATGTAATGGGAAATCTATGGATTCTGTACTAGATTCAACTAAAATAGAAAAGTGATCAATGAGGGATAACTCTATAATTCTGAAAGTATTTAAATAATATATAAGGTAGTCTTGTATTTCAACTCCAGTTTCCACATGAAGTGAAATAAAAAAAAAAAGTCATTTTTTTCTGTCAGATTTTTTTCTGGACTCAATATCTGCTGTTTGATTAAAAGTTTATGCTGAATTTAAACATCTATCTCAATGAAAAAAATATGTTGCATCTTTTTGGGAACATCAAATCAGGAAACTGGAAGGATCGCATAATTACTGGACATGCTGGAAGTGGAGCAGACTAGTAAAATCAGCAAACAGAAAGTAGAAAAAAATAGTTCTGACTTCAAGGTTTCATAAGTTTTTAATCTGTGTGCTTTGTGGCATTTTTTACCCCTAATAATTACAGTATCACATTTATACTACATACATGATATGTACATGGAAAGATTTTTCTATGTGGCATTTTATTATTTTTTTAATTTAAAGATCAGCTATTTTGCATGTAACTTCATGATGTTAGCCTATGGAGTAGTCAATTACAAGGCTGTAACCTAAGCAGTTATGGCATCCAGCTATTTATTTTGTTTTTTTCACATGTTGCTTCAGTTAGATGTCTATATTAAATGAAAGCAAACTCACTACCTTAATTAAATCTTTATGAAATTTGGTACCTAATTACATAGTTTAAATGATACATTATGATTTATATTCAATGAAAATACAAGCTTATGTTTCAATTACAGGTTGAACTATTATGTTGACACACCTGACTTTACTTTCTATAATTACAAGACACCAGTCCTATCATATAGTCACTTAAGGTAGTAATATTTAATTGCCAGACTCATATCACCTTACTTACCATAGTTACTAGGTATAAGCCCTATTTTATTGCCACACTTGGCTTTCCACCAATCAGTACTGCTGTGCATATCTAATATATATAATGTATCACCTTCATCAAATGACAGCTCATCAGTCTGCAAAGATATAAACAGTATAATGAATCATTCACTCTAGAGTTGTATATAAATAAATTATAAATTATGAATAAAATAAGGTATTCTAAATCTATAGTATATCTTGTTGAGTCACAGTTATTGTCTCCAATTCAGACATGTACATTTGTAATTCATCATATTGAAAAGAGCAACATTTTTTCCTCTCTGATCAACGTCTAAATATCATTGTTTAATTCACTAGACATGTACAATACTTTTTCTCTGTTACAGTTCTCTCCAGTATTAGTTTACCACACCAATAAAACAGTTTTGATATTATACTAAAGAAGAAATGTACAATATTCTGTTGACACAAATATGTGTCTTGCCTTTGTAACATGAAAACATCAAAATAAATGGACCATAACTGAAGGGGCAAGGCTAAATAATCTTCCTGAAAATGAGAAGTCCCAATATCCCAATCGTAATAAAGCTTCCTAATTAAGAATTGACTTTATAGTTAATACCATCAGTAGTTCGTTCCCCTTAAACTGACCGAATCAAAATCTATAAAAATTGTTGACAACCATGACTAATGACGTAACCATAAGAAACAGAACACGTCTCCACTTAATGACTTAGTTGAGGCAAACATAAAATAATGTGTAACAATCATCTAGTAATAACTGATATTGGGTGGTAAGTTATGAATAAGTTGCGACAAAGCAATCTTAGTATTATCTTACCCATCGGCATGGTCATCAGTGGCACATTTTTCAATGATCAAAGCCCATAAATAAAAGTCAAATAAAAAATCTATTTTTACTTAAACTGGGCAATTTTTATAAAAATTGTCATTAAACAATGATTGACAATAAGAAATTTCATCTTTTCCCCACAAGGTACTTCTTAAATCATTGTAAATGTAACAGAATAAGTGTAAAAAAGATAGAATTTCTTACATCATTAGAGGAAGATAACCCATCTACAGTTTTGCACAACTTTTAACTACCATCATTTGAGCTGTGTCGGATAGAAAGTGCACATATACATGTATAAGACTTTGGTTGATTTTAGAACATTTAAATACGAAATAAAAGAGGAATTTTGGTCTGTTTTGTAGGGTTTTTATAACAACTCAATTTTCAAACAGTTACAGACTTTCTGTAGAGATTTTTAAACCCGAAATAGGTGAACAGATGTCAATGGATGTATTGATATTCATTTGCATAAGGTTGATTTCTATCTGACGTAGCTCATTTCTTATTTGGGTAAAAAATCCTCAAATATACCAGGCTTAATAGTTATAATTTTGTACGCCAGACTTGAATTTTGTCTACAAAAGACTCATTAGAGACTCTTGATTCAAAAATTTAAAAAGGCCAAATAAAACACATACAAATGTATCAAAATTTCATACACCATGTATTCAAAAGAATAAAGTATTGAAATATTTCATTCATCAATGATTCTAGATACCATGGTAGATGTACATGTAGTAAGACTTATGATTGATCAATAAACCAATAAGTTAAAATGCATGCACTCATCCTCTTTGAATCATGATCATTGTTTACATTGTAAGAGTGATAAACTATTGTTTACATTTTAACTTGTAAGAGCGATAAACAATTGTTTATAAGTTGAGCAATAAACTATTGTTTACAAGTTGTAAAATTTCAGCATGAATTACTTAAACATCACTGCAAACATGATACATACATTTATAAACAAGCTCATTATATAATTAAATTGCTTACCTGCTGAGCAGTGTATGGATATAAAGAACGAAAAACTTTGACCTGACCTGAAAATAAACAAATATGATGTAATACATTGTAATATGAAAAGTAAGACATGTTTTAATAACTATAAAGGTGTAAATTCTATAAGAGATTTTGGCTATTATGTATGCAACTACCTTAAGCACTTCCCCAGGCTGTGTCACTGGACTATTAGACCAACTCCAGTGGGATACCCTACAGCAAAGGCAAATGAACCAGCGACTCTTCTTAAGCTATAAGATCCAGAGCCAACTAGTGGAGATCCAACCAGCTATCTACTATACACCTGGGGACAGCAGAACAAGGGTGCCATAGAATAAGACATATCAGAGCCACAAAGGAAGTCTACAGCAACTCCTTTTTCCTGTGCTGTATAAGAGACTGGAACCCACCGCCAGACACAGTAGCAGCTGCACCAACACTTGAAGAGTTCAGGGACTGATTAGCCAGTGTGACCTGGGCCCAGATGAAGCCTCACTAGACACCAACTTGTCAATTTGTAGTGTAAATAGTTTTAATTATTTGGTTATTATTTACTTATATTCAATGGAGAAGGCTCCTGTTTTACCAAGCGGAGTTATTAAATCACTCAAGTACAAAAAAAATGTATGAGGTCAACTCCTTACCGGAAGAAAAAGATGCAAGCTTGATAATATTTGATATATTAGAAAATTTTGACTGTTCTGTTTTCATGGTTTTAACCCTTTTGGTTTTGATACCAAACATGATAGTATTTGACTTTCCAAACTTCTGGACTGAAATATATCTGTGTCACATGCACTGACATGTCTCTGTAAACAATTTAGATGTTGTTTTTTTTTACAAACAAAATTTATCAACCTCAACTTACTCTTACTTGTCTTACTAAATCAAGCATCAACAGTGACCAATGTCTTTTTTAAAACTTGTTAATATTATGCACTGTGCAGGTTTTTTATTGTGCGTTTTAGAATCTGGTCAAAACTTTTACTAAATTTCATCACAGTTGGTTGGAATCCGAGTTTATTCGCCCAAAAACATGTTCGCCCCCTTTCACTTTCGCACCCAAAGTCAGTTTGCACCCTACACGTTCGCACTCTTTTTATTGGTTTTGTGTTTAATTATTTTGTAATCAAGTTTTGGTAAGTGTATTGCTGTAAATATTTTTTTTTTTTATTGTTTCAAAATAAAGTGAGATTCTGACAACATTTTTTTGTGTTGAATAAATCTTAATCATGTTTTGGTTAGTGTATTTCTATAAAAAAAAAATTTCATTGTTTCTAAATAAAGTGAGATTCTGACAACGTTTGTTTTTTGTGTTGAATAAATCTTAATCATCTTTTGGTTAGTGTATTGCTATAAATTTATGTTTTCATTGTTTCAAAATAAAGTGAGATTCTCACGGTTTTTTTTTGTGCTAATTTAATCTTAAACTATGTTTTGGTTAGTGTTGTGATATAATTTATTTTTTTCATTGTTTCAAAATAAAGTGAGATCAAAGGGGCCAAGCTGTTAAAATCAATTATCTTTCTTGTTTTTCTTTTAAAATCTTCAATGTTTTACTCATACCAAGCTAAATGCATGCAGTATTTACATCAAAGCAAGTTAAAACAACAATCATGATTTTCAAACACACAACAATAATACCAGATTTAGCTGTGTATAAATACCAATTAGCAGTAATCATACATTCGTACATAATTAACATTTAATAATTAATCATCAAATTGATGAAAAAAATAACCAAAAAACATTCATATAATAATTCCCCAATTTTTATTCGGGAAGATATATATTTTTTGGTATATACATATAAAAAAATATCTAATAATTCAACTTGAATTTGAATAAAAATTGGGTGCGAACAGACCTAGGGGGCAAACGTGTGGGGTGTGAACGTGTAGGGTGCGAAAGTGTATTGGGCACGAACGGACCTGATACCAGTTGGTTGCAACTATTTAACCCCCCGACTTTTGTGATTCTGAGTCTGGAGCAATTTTCTGATTCGACCCTCACAGAAAAGCACTCTGGACATAGAATTATGAAAGTTATTTAGGACTACTCTGATCAGTCATTTGTCAGAAGAACCAAAAGTTCAGTAGTTGTTTTTTTCGGACACCTGAAAGTCTCTGCCTTTGGAATCGTAAGAGCTATAAAATTCAGAAAACCCCCTCAACATTAGATCAGTTAAATTTAGCAAATTAACTAGGCTGATCAAGTATTTTAATTGAAAATTTTGGCTTTCGGTTGAAGACAGTATCTGTACCGGGTTTTGGGACGGGTGGTGGAGGTCTTCCTGGTCGTGGTTTCGACATTCCTGTGAAGTTTCTATCTGCTCTAGTCCTCCTAAGGAAACAACACGGAAGTCGGAAGTTTACAATAAAATCGTCCCGGTCATGCGCTTTAGAAGCCACGCCTATTCAAATAGAAACTCCGAAACTGAAAGTACAAATTGAACCTTTTATGAGGGTCTGGATTGGGGGATTTAATTATGTATTCTTTTATTATCTATGCCGTTTTTCTCTATTCGTAATTTGTCTGGTTTTTAGATCTATTTTTTTTTAAATTTTACCAAGTTTCTTTTCTTAATAGGCCCCGTCCCGACCATAATGAGGTCCGAAGACACAATTATCGTCCTTAGGTTTTCCTGGGAACAGTATATCTAACATATATATGTTCCTGGGTTTTCGTTGTCTAGTGTGGACAGTGTATAACTTTCAAATTTTTTTTCATACACTTTCCAAATTTATTTCTTTATATTTTATGCATGAAATATTAAGTAAGGGGATGAAATTACATGTTAAAACAATTTGGGTGCCGAATCTTTATGTTAAGTAGTGATTTGGTCCAGTTAAAAAAAGGTCAAAAACTAGTATGTCTGAAGCTGTCAGACTGAATTTTAGACCCCCTTAACATAGAATTGTCAATATTTTGAGTTAGAGCTGGTAGACTTTTCTATAATTTTGATATTATTTGTCCCCGAATAGTAGTACACCACACTGTAAAAATCTTTTTGAGAAAGAGCAGGTTCGATTTTTTTAATTGACTTTATTGTCTAAAAGAAATGCACTAAGAAATAACTGCATGTGTTCTCGGACCATGATAGAAATTTATCTGATATATGTGTATAAAACAAATTTGAAACAATCTATAGTTAATGGAATAGTCGGCTTTTATAATGACTAATGTCTATCGTCTTTGCATAAGTGAAAACTGAACTTTGTGACTGAGAATCTATATATATAGTAACATTAACTCAATACTCTTTCTAGTTTTTCCAGAGACATACATGTAAAATACAGTTTACAATGTCTAATTGTATTATATGCCTCTGGTTTGTCATAATGACATTGCTATTCAGGAATGAACAAATTTACAGACTATAATTTACTATATATAAATTATATCAAGTGTTCTCCACTCACTCGTGGATCGTTTATTATTTTCTAAAATAAGTCAAAGTACTAATATTTGCAAAAAAGTCCAGGGCGACAGCTAAAGTCCAATTTGCATCATTCCAAAAAAAGTCAGGTGGGTTTCGTAAAAATGGTGGAAACAATATAGTTTCTGTATCTGTATCTATATCTATATGAATACGTTGTGGATGCCAATACTGGCTTTAATCCAACGGTAGAGAGAGCGCTGAGTCGATTTATTGACTGTGCGGTAGAGCAGTCTTGAAGCTCTCAACGCTTGGTGCGCGCACTACAGTGTCTTCAAGGTGGTTCCACTCGATCATGTCTTCAAGGTGGTTCCACTCGATCATGTCTTCAAGGGCGTTCCACTCGATCACTGTTTTTACGAAAAATGAGTTAGAATATTGTGGTGATTTGCTCGTTGGAATCTCAAAACACTTTGTGTTGTTCATGACTTGTTTTTATACGTCCGTCAAAATTTTGACGGGACGTATTATGGTATACAAATGTCCGGCGTCCGACTGTCTGTCTGTCCGTCTGTCCGTCTGTCCGTCTGTCCGTCCGTCCGTATGTCCGTCTGTCCGGCGTCCACATGTCGCACCGTAACTTGAGAATGACTTATCCAATTACATGAAACTTCAAATAGTTGTTTCTTATGATGGTCAAACGATCTGTATACTTTTTGGTGAAAATAAGATTAAAACTTTTTGAGTTACGGGACTTTGTAACTAAAACAGGGGGGTGTTTTTTCACATGTCGCGCCGTATCTCAAAAACAATTTATGATTATTGCTTAAAACTTTACACACTTTTTAGTTATATTAATCTAAAGATCTGTATACTTTTTGGTGATGATTCAAAATTTTATTTAAGAGTTATTGATTTTTTTATAAAAAAGGGGGGGTTTTCACATGTCGCGCCGTATCTCAGAAACGATTTATGATTATTGCATAAAACCTCACACACAAGACGACGGGCGTATCATGCGCTCCTGGCGCAGCTGTTTATTCCACAATATTTTTTGTCTTGTAATTGTCAAATTTCTTGGCAGTTATTGTTCTTTTTGGACGTGCTTTTTTTTTTAAATATTCGTCTGGTTCTATATAGCAGGAACCAGCCCCTCAACCACCTTGTACAGAAATATTAGCATCTGGCTTGAGCGTCTTGTCTGTAGATCTTGTAGTTCCAGTTTTGCGATCATATTTGAGACGCAACCATCTTCTCTGGATTTGTAGTCTCCCGTTATAAATCTCGCAGCTTGTCGCTGTATTCTTTCAAGCTTGTTGATGTTCGTAGATGTGTAGGGGTCTCATACTATTGCTCCATACTCCATTGTTGACCTGACCAGTGAAATATATGCTTTTTTCTTGCATTTTGGTGGGCTGTATCTCAAATTCCTTCTCAGCCTAGTGTTGAGATTGCCGTTTTTGCTACGTTGGAAATATGCGTAGTCCATTTTAGGTCCTCTGAAATTTACAGGCCCAAGTATGGGTTATGTTGGACTTGTTGTAGAATATGTCCGTTTAAAATTTAGAATTGTTGGCTTTTGTTTTTTATGCTTAGAATTTAACATAGTTAAATATGTTTAAGCAAGGATTTGTATAGTGACACTATGCAAATCCTTGGTTTAAGTCCCAGAAAAATGTCATTCTGTTAATAGAAGTTCCATTTTAATATTAGTTCAAATGGAAGAAGTATTGTGGAACATTATTTGCAGTTGAAAAATTTACAGTATTTGTTCCTTACGGAATAAAGGATTAAAAAAAATGTGTTCCAACAAGAACAGATAATGCATTCTTGTTTAGAATTAAAAAACATTCCAGAGAAATTGCTGTTGGGAGGAAAAAATATACGTTTGACTATGGCCCTGTGTACTATATCATATATATGTTTTCAATTTAGACTTGTATATATATATATATATATATATATATATATATATATATATATATATATATATATATATATATATATATATATATATATATAAACGCCTAAAAAGTGTACAAAACAACACCAAAAACAAAAAAAAGGAAACATTAAATGTAATTATCTATAAATATTTCGGATAACAGATATCCTTCATCAGTATGATTATGATGTAAAATGAATCATATCAATCTATTCTGATTAAACTATAACAATCTTGAAATTTATACAATAAAATTTAACAGTTACAAGTGTCTCTATGTTGTTCGGTTTTATAGAATTGTACAAGTATCTCTATGTTGTTCGGTTTTAACTGTTTTATTGTATAAATTTCAAGATTGTTATAGTAATATATCAATTTAATATCAAAGTGAAACAGAAAACAATAAACTTGCGGAAAAGATGGTATACCGCAAACAAAAGGTGCAAAAATTAGTACACCATATCCGGATTTCGACAATTAATGTCTCTTCAGTGATGTTAGGAATCGAAACCGTATTTGGAAGGCCATATAATTTACCTCAATTTAGGATAGACCCTTGAATTTTGAAGAGTCGAAATAGGATGAACGGATCATATAAACCCGAAAGCAAATATAATATACAAGCCCAAACGAAAAAATATAAACAAGTCTAAATTGAAAACAACTAATTTTTGCGACTTTTGTTTGCGGTATACCATCATTTCCGCAAGTTTATTGTTTTCTGTTTGATATTAAATTAATATTTAAGATCCATTTTGTTACATCTGGTGATCATTTTATTTGGAAATCGCCAATGGCAGTCAGCAGGGTTTAAGAACATCCGTTGTTCGACCTGCTAGTCAAATGCGTTTTTCACAAGGTCATGTTTTCTCTGACTTTTTATGACGTCTTAACACTAAATCCATTGGATGTTGGATGTGTACGGATTGATAGTTTAGTCTTAGATGCATGATTTTTTTTATTAGTTGTCAGTGGCTTTGAACTAGCTGTCAGTAACTGCGAGTACTCTCAGATCTGTACTTAGTGTCTTTTTGTTGTTTGGATGGACAAGTACCCGGCCACGTCCACTTGTATTTGTAGTATTTGTATTTTTATCCATCTGATGAGTTAAGCCTCTGTCTAATGATTTTTATAGTTCGTTCTTATGTTGTACTGTTACACCACTGTCCCAGGTTAGGGGGAGGGTTGGGATCCCGCTAACATGTTTAACCCCGCCACATTCTGTATGTATGTGCCTGTCCCAAGTCAGGAGCCTGTAATTCAGTGGTTGTCGTTTGTTTATGTGTTACATATTTGTTTTTCGTTCATTTTCTATACCTAAATTAGGCCGTTAGTTTTCTCGTTTGAATTGTTTTACATTGTCATTTCTGGGCCTTTTATAGCTGACTGTGCGGTATGGGCTTTGCTCATTGTTGAAGGCCGTACGGTGACCTATAGTTGTTAATTTCTGTGTCATTTGGCCTCTTGTGGAGAGTTGTCTCTTTGGCAATCATACCACATCTTCTTTTTTATATTTGTCACTTTTTTGGTCTTCTGGAAAATGTTGTTTGTGCTGTATTTAGACCCCTTTACCAAGAAATTTGTTTTGCATGCACACGTATAAAAATTATGGTTTTTATCCAACGCAATCATAGGTTTGAACGTTGTTTTCAATTTAGACTTGTATATATATATATCAAGATACTGTAGTAAATGCATATAAATCTGTCATTGTATTTATGCGAATTGTTACAATTGTGTGCATGTAATTATCAGTTTGTAAAATTTTGCTGTATTTATTCATAATCACATTTCCCATTGGCTTATAAGGTTTGGATCTATTAGATTGACAGAAATATGTAACGACTGACATGTTAAGATTTAAAAAATAGAATTTTGCAAGAGCACATCTGGTCATACTGATCACCGGCTTTTGTCACTTGTTCCACTTGTCCGACCATCCTCCGTCTCGCTAAACTTATTTCTTTCCAATCTCTGGAACCTTAGACAGGATAATTTACACATTGACCAAAAAGGGGAAAACCAAAACCTGTCACGGGTGAATTATTGCTTCGATTTGCATAAAATGGCCACTGTTACTTAACATGTCAAGAGTAGCTCCATTAAATTATCCAATATCAGTTCAAAACCCACTGTGGGTGCCGAATACGACAGTTTTGATAATTAATTCTTATATCACAGATGTACATTTATGTTTCTATATCAACAAAGTTTTAATTTAAGAAGCAATTAAATGGATATTATGCAATATCGAATCATTTGCCAATGACTTCAGATATTAGCGATAACACCTCATGTCATTCAGTATTATAACAAAGAATATTTAAAAGACATGGACAATACCAGATCTCGAATCCAAGGAGTTTTGTTTTGCAACCAAGTAGTACCAGGAATTGTTTTAGAAGCTCGTAGATATTTTTTTTCCATTAAACACTTTCTCCAAGTCATATACACAAATTAAATTCTTTATCTGTATAACGGAACTTTAATTGGATTTAAATTATAAAGTATTTTTATTTTAAACAAACGTTTTGGTCTGTTTAACACTAGATCTATCGTATGGTATTTAAATTGCTCTTTTAAACATTGACAATAGTAGAAATACATACCAAACGTAAATATGAATTATTTCTTATTGTTCGATTTCATTGATATGAAGGTTTAAATGTGTTTTCTCAATAACGTTGATGACATAAAAGTGAATTCGTTCAGGTAGCTCTGTAATATTAACAAAATAATTAACACTTTGGACTAAAAGGCGAATAAACGGAATGGTTACAGGTAAGATTTGGACTTTTTGATCATTTTTTTTTTCGTTTTGAAATACAAGTAGTTATAAACTGCCTGTTACAGGCAGTTTATAACTACTAATACAGAAATTAAGTTAGACTAGACATAACAATACTGTTCATATATTATAGTTTTCTCATTTATCGTTTAGGTTTTGAGACATGTTTAGATTTCTGTGTAGTGTTTTGCGGACTGTTATTTGCCTGTTCGTGTTTTGCTGACTGTTACTTGCCTGTTCGTGTTTTGCGGACTGTTATTTGCCTGTTCGTGTTTTCTTTTGGGTATGGTGTTATCTGTCTTTTTTTCAACCTTTAGTTTTGGATTGTCCCCTCGGTATCTTCTCTCCCTTTAAACACGTAATGTCTCAGGAACTGCTCTAATTATTAAACATGTCCAATATAACCTTGCTTCAGAAGGGCACATGAACATGTGGCAGGGTTAAAATAATTTAAGATCTCAGATCCCCCTCACTAAATCGCGATCGGTGGAATAGCAATATGTTTACTCAAGAACGTATAATAAAAATCAGTATAATTACGATAGAATCAGAGAAAACAAACATACAAGTGAAAAAACAACAATAAACAATATCATATCAAAGATTGCTGGTTAAAAGTGAAATCCAGCTCAAAATATATGACCTGTTGTTACGCTTTCTAGCAGCATTATACTCTAATATCGGCGACTGTACCTCATTGTCTGATTTCATAAGGCAATGTCATAAACAAGCGACCATGCGCAATATCCAGAATACTTTTTACAAAATTTCAGTGCAGAAAAGACACACATTTTAGTCTTGCATTAAACTGTAGATTGGCGAATGATGTAGATATCTAATAAATAAACCAACCGGAATGATTCAATAACAACAGTATATTTTATACTTATAACCTTTATCAATAAGCCTACATTCTGAACATTTCATCAAAGCAGATAAATACTCCCAAACAATTACCTCTGATAATAGAAAGGCTGAACAGTGAAATATTATAATATCGAATTTGGAAATTTTGAGATGAAACTTGTCAGATTACATATGATCCCGACCTTCTTCCATGGCCCTACTATACATTAAATTTGAAAATATCAGAGGATTTCGTTGAACGTAGATTTGGTATTTACCAATCGTTTTTAAATTTAGCAGTTCAATACTTATCTATTGAAAGTACTATGAAACTTAATAGCCATATAAAGCATAGTATTTCAACACACAGTGATGAAAAAATGTTGTACTTTGCACAGCGTGACAACGAGTCTTATGGTTATATAACTGTCAAAAGAAATGCACCACTTCAATATTCGTCCCTACAATAGAGGTATTTTATCAAACACATCATTATTATAAAAGAAATATCATTCAATTAAAACATCTGATCAAGGTAAGACAATTTAAAAAGCGTAACTCTATAATTCACAAATATCATTTAATATTTTTTTGATAAACTTTGTTTAGTTTCTAGTTTTATAAATAAAAAGAAAATACAAGTAGCCAAATCATCAAGACGAATAAGAGAAAGACATTTAATATACAGATGATTGTTCTTGTATAGATGCATGAGTTTATAAATATTTTGAAACTTCATAAGTTTTCCAAACGTTTATTTATATATCAAGTAATACTTCTGTTGGTATTTTAAATGACCATATGTATTTGGGTATTATTCTTATGTACTGTTTGGTCATATACCTCTTCGAGTGTTTCGGTTCTTATACATTGGCTTTCATTTTTAGCTTTGCACGTTCCTGATGAAGATAAATCCAGAAATGCTCTTCGAAAAATATACACCATTGTTTATAAAGTGTTATTTTCATGTCTTTTAATCCAAAGATTTTGAAAAGTTATAATCTGGTCTTACATTAAGCATCACGATTTCGATAAAGAGAACAAAACATATCTATAAATAAAGATAAGTATGATACCTTAATACTTACGGTTGTCACTATAATGTAACAGGAACTGCTGACAATGGTGTTCTCCATATTTCTTCGACTCCTGGATTTTGCATTGCTCTTTTGATATCTTCTTTTTAAGCTAATAAGACCTGTTATAGAGTTCGTGATTATTCTGTAAGGATTTGATTACAATTACCATTAACTCTTCTTGTAAACGGGAAATGGTAAATGTCTTACCAGACTTCAATCTGATAATACTTATAGATCTACTACCGCTTATATTGAATCTACTACATCAAATATTCATTACTTTCAGATTTAAATGTCGGCTTCTATTAATTCTTTTCGTTGTTCTCTTTCTATGCATGGTAATATGGTTCCTGAATTATCATTGGCGCGATGACTTTCAGTCTTACATGTTTTCAGCTTGCTCAATAATGTCGATAGGTCAGACTTTTGATGTCGAGGAGCATGCATCGACTTTTTTTATTGATATCTCTAAAATGTTGAATTTAGAAATTATTTTTCTTTGTGTTTTTTTCTTTCTTTTTTTGGGAGGGGTGGGGAGAGGGGGGGGGGGGGGGGGGTGGGGGGTATTTTTGCTGTTGGTTTAGGTCACTGTCACATTGAACGTACACACCACATAGTCCTTCATTTATATTGTCAATGGTTAACAGTTTCAATCATTATATTCTCGATAATTAGATTCTCGAAAATGTGTAAACATACTACTCGTATAGGTTTTTAAGTATGAATTCCGCAAACTTTAATAAAGTTGAACATGATCTACTCTCACAGTGTGTTAAGGTAATATTGAAGGTTTATTGACAACTTAAACAACGCATTACATAATTTATCAATAGACCTGCACTACTTACAAATATAAATCTTTACAATTTAGGCATGTAATCAATACATATCATTAATAATGAAAGAAATCTCAATTAAATCAGTTATCTGAAAATCAAGGTAAGATGTCTTAAACTTTCAATATTTACGAAATCTAGAAATACAAGTTATATTTGACGTATTTAATAAAAAAAATTAAACTGTTTTTATATATTGAAGCAAAATACGATCTGTTGCTATATCCTCTCAGGTTTATGACATATTTATCAAATGTATGAATATGGTATATTAATTCAAACACAACATGGTTGATATATTAGTCATGGAAAACCATGGTTTGTTTATTGTTGAAATTGAGCCTTGAACTAGGTTTTAGTAATTGCGAGTACTCTTAGATCGGCACTTTTTGTCTGTTGTCTTTATTCGTTAGTTGTTTTTGTGCTAAGTACTATTCTGATGATTTAAGCCCTTGCCAACAAACAACATTTTTAGTTTGTTTTTATGTCGTGTTGTTAAACCACTGTCTCATTTGAAGGGGTTGAACGTCTACAAAAACGTTTACCCGCCAGTGTTTTTCGTTGGTTGCTGTCTGTCATAACTGTGATTATTGTTTTAGCATACATCTGACTGTTAGTTTTCGCTTTTGAAGGTTGACATTTGGCATACCTGTTATTATAGCTTACTGTGATACGTTATTGGTTTTGATCATGCTTGTTGAATGCCGTACAATGACATTTAGTTGTTTACATCTTCGTCCTTTGGTCTCTTGTGAATAGTTGCCACATCTCATAATATTTACATAAAAGATCACAAGAGACGAAATAGACATACAATGGTGTTCATGTCAGGTCTCTATAAAAATAAGGAGATGTGATATGATCGTCAATGAGACAACTATCTGATTGTTTCTTTCTGTATAATTCATTTACAACTTCTGTGCCTTTTTTATGTGCGGATTTAGGTTGTTTTATGTATTCGTTTTTATTCTGTAGTTAGTCACCACATCGGTGTTAACATGTATATCTATTATATAGTCATTTTTATAAATTTACTGTTTGCAAAAGTATGAATTATTCTAAATACTAAGGATTTTCTTATCCCAGGCATATAACCTTAGCCGTATTTGGCACAACTTTTTGGAACTTTTGGTCCTCAATGCTCTTCAACTTTGTACTTGTTTTGGCTTTCAAACTTTTTTGATCTGAGCGTCACTGATGGGTCGTATGTAGACGAAACGCGCGTCTTGCGTATTAAATTATAAGCCTGGTACCTTTTGATAGCTATTATTTGTGCGTGTCTCTGTCCTGTATGTTCTCCTATTTATTTGTATTGTAGTCCTGTCATATAATCTTGCCATTTCAATGTTATATTTAACATTGCCATAAAAGCGGGAGGTTTGGCTAGCCACAAAACCAGGTTCAACCCACCATTTTTTCTTAAAATGTCCTGTACCAAGTTAGGAAAATGGCCATTGTTATATTATAGTTCGTTTCTGTGTGTGTTGCATTTTAGTGTTGAGTTTCTGTTGTGTCGTTGTTCTCCTCTTATATTTGATGTGTTTCCCTCAGTTTTAGTTTGTAACCCGGATTTGTTTTTTTCTCAATCGATTTATGAATTTCGAATAGCAATATACTACTGTTGCCTTTATTTATCGACTCTTGATGATTTATAAAGAACATAAAGCGGTCGAGTTATTTAGCAACTGCAGTCGTAAGTATAGGACAGGACTTTCATTTTTCGGCACATGGCAAATTCGTACCGGAACCTGCAGAGGTTTAACGGCTGATGTTATATCCAAAATCCATGTACATTGCACTTGTTCTAATTTTTGAAATACAGTTTAGCATAAACATCTCATATAATTCCGTTTACATTTCAGTGACGGACATTAGATGAAATGCCGAAGATCAAAGTTATATCATCTTTGGAAACATCAGAGAAAGTTGTAAAATCTCTTCTTTGTTTGGACAAACCTGTCATTGGAGTGAACTGTAAAGGTGCTGATTTAGGACCACAGGGTAAATGTTGTTACTACTAGAAGGAAATCATACATATTAATGATCTAGGAAGTTCTTAAACGATCAGTCGAAGCGCTTGCAAAATGCATCTTGATATCTCTACACAACATTTGTTAGTGATAGGTTCTGTTTTGGGACTTCATGAAACTCTTCATTTAAGTTTAATTCATGATGATGATGTTTAAATCAACATTTAATCGTTTCAGATAATATCTAAAATGTACAATAATCACCAAAATCTTGTAATATCATAGAAATAGGGAAAAAAAAACAGCACACTAATCAAATATACCACATGTTTTTGTCTTCTGGTAGTAATAATAAGTGTATGTACCATTTATTTGTATCTTTCTTATAGGTAGGATAACGCAGGTAACAATTAGTACCTGTTATGATGATGTTTACATCTTTGACGTTAGACGCCAACCTAACATAATTCTAGACGGAGCTATAATAAGACTTTTCCAATCCCGAGAACTAGTGAAGGTAAAATAAAGCAATAGCTTTCCATCTATAATAAAACGAATACTTGAAAAACAATAACGTAATTGCCTACAATTTCTACCTTTATCTTTAAACATGAAGAAGATACCAATTGGATAATCAAAACCACAAGTCAAAGAAAACCAGACAACACCAGTCTCTTACAAAAAGAAAAGACAAACAGACAAACAAAGTCCACAAAACACAAACCAAAAATAAAAATTGAACATCACAAACCAAGACCAGGTATTCTAGAAGGATAAGCAGTTCCCTCTCTAACAGCGCCACCCGTCGTATTGCTCATGGAAAGTACGTGGGACATATCCGTGGATCGACGGAGTCGGTCAACTAAATCACAATAGCGTCCGTTAAGTTTTCGAAGAGATATTGTAAAATGCTTGCTTCAATAGCTTAGTTGTATACGCATCAAACCTCTATCACAGAAACCATGATAAGAAAGGAAACGCACACGATTTGGTTTATTTCCTAGCTTAATTTGTTTGACACATAAAGTGGCAAGGATGTCCTAAGTGTTTTAAATGTATGTGTGTTTGTTTTTTTTTTTGTTTTAATTATTATTTCGATGCCTAGTATTGCGTTTTGCTAGTATTTACTGTTATTTTGCTTTGTTTTCATTTCGGGAATTTTTGTTTTGTTTTGTTTTTTTTCGGGGGCGGGGGGAGGGAGGTAGTGGTTTTATTTTTTTTTATTGTTTGCCACTGTGCGTATTTATTATTAGCTTGTTTTATTCCCTGTAATTGTGATCTAAAAGTGATTTGTTTATAGTCATTAATTCAAATTCCAATTGGAACACATCGTTAGAAAACTGTTACTCAAACATATGTGTGCAAATTCAGGTTTCTAACTAATAATAATAATGCTCTTAATTGTTTTTTTCTTATTTTTTTTAATGACCAGCTGGTTGTTGTAGCAATTTCTTTTGTTTCAAAAGATTTTCAGTAATTCATGTTATTTTCATATTTTATCCATATCACACAAATGTCGATTATTTCTATAAAGTAGAGGATTTGAGGTACTCTATATTGACTATATTTGGTGTATGAAATGCTTGTGTGGTGTACATGCCTGTCTGGTAGAGTTTATCTGACCATGACCTCATGTTATTGGTCTACAGGTTGAAGTTAAGTTTTCTGGGTTAGGCCTGTTTCTCAGAAACTATAAGCAATATGTTAACTATATTTTAGTTTATGGAATGATTGTAAAACAAACATTTCTGTCTGACAGGGTTCATCTGACCTTGAACTGATTAACATGGATCGTTAAAAATGGTAATTTTATGTAATATTTGTAGTATAAACCTTTTCTTAAAGACTTTCAACATAAATTCAATCATGATCATTAAAGCAGGCAAGACATTCCAGCGTGCGCACTCATTTTTTATTATGCGTCAATACTTATTCTGCCCTTTTCACTCCCACAGCCCATTATTGGTATTTTATTTTACAAATGCTTCATTTAATATGTGTTCCAATGTAATCTAATCTTATTCATTCATGTTTCATGGCAATTTCCTTTTTCCTTTCAGGTCTTCCATGATTGCAAGGCAGACAGTTCTGCATTAAAGAAAATTTACGGTGTTGATATCAATAATTATTTTGATATACAGGTATGAATTGCAAACCATAACAAATTCATGATATTAACTTAAATGATTCATCACAGGACAATTGCTCAAGGTGATTTGTTGTCCTTAAACAAATTTGTTGTGACCCAACCCAATGAAAAAAGAAAGAGAAAAAGAAAATTACTAGTATGAAATAAAAGCTTCAAAGACGCCATAAAGGTCTCGTATGTCTTCCTAATGTATTTATAACCATTTTAATATTTTTCAACAAATTCAGTCGCCAAATTACAGATTTAAACAGACAACGATCGGGGCGGAAATAAACGGAATCGAATGAACAAACGAATTGGGAACAGTTGAGTCTGAAGGGTAGGCATACTTATCCAACTGCAATTTACTGCGTATGTATGTCACATAATGAAGTAGATTATTGTCAGATTAATATCAGAATGACAGGTTTGATTCATGACATATTTAAATGTATCTATTGAGATGAGATATTCCAACACAGCACGGATAAACAAATTCATGCATGGTGGTGACCAGAGAACGTTAGATTTGACCATTTCATGTGCTCTTCTTCATAACTGCAGTTTTTTTACTTAAGAGTATATCCTTTTAAGGAAATCACTAGAATGAAAAGTAACCTCTAGAACATCTTGTTGACTGAGAAACATAAACTTCATAGGCGAAAGTTAGATAAATGATAAATCTTTAAGAAAAACACAACGGACATGTTGTTTGAGATTTAGTAGGTAGAACCTCAAAAGACTCTTTGCATGCTCAGAAATATAACAAATAATCGTTATACATCTTATTCCATTTGTTAATATACTAATCACTGACATTTCCCCAATTTTGCAGACAAATTAGAACTTAGGTATCCGAATTTGCATTTGAGTGTTCAGTTAAATGTTCAAAATAAATTTTACTATTTAACTGACTGTTTCTGTATATTGATGCGATGTTAATTGCATGTTACGGTCATGGTCTTTGTATCATGTGAAAGACTCTTATATTGTGAAGTTCGGACAATTACTACAGTACATGAAGAATATGTCAGTCATTCACCATGTGTTCCATCAGTTTATATGTTGCCATCAGTTTATATGTATGAATTCACTTTTTTGTTTACTCTTTTAAACGTAATGATATCTTAAATTGGCTTGTATTCGAAGGTATTTGTCAGTCTCTATTCTAAAACTAGTACAAAAACAACATTTTATTTAGTATGCATAAATCAACTGAGTTATCTATAATTACTTTACAAAGTATACACTTGGTTTTAAAATGTAAGGTATATTTGCAGTTAGCATTTTCCACTATATTGGAACAACACGGCTTTCCACCAAGAAAAGTATCATTGTCGTATCTTTGTGATAGATTTGAAATTGATAGATTTACGGCAGATCGTGCACAACAGGTATGTAAATTAGGGATACAGTAGTTTACCGATGTTCATATTAATCCTTTAAAAAGAGACAAGTCAAAGTAACAAACAAGTTCTGACGGACTCGCAAAAACTCCAAAAGGAGTGGGACTGGTAGCGTCGACAAGGTAATTGTCTACTGCTATGTATGCATCACCCGAGTCAACACATCATAATCGTTAAAATAACATATCAAACGACTATTCAGGTATCTATAGATCTTAGACTGCGAAAACATGTAGCTAGTTAGAGACGTCTTATCAGTCAACCAATTCGTGATGGTGACCGTAAAACTTGTGTTGTGTCGGTTTCAGTCGTTCTTCCTCATAACTCTGTTGAATTAGTTTTGTGTTAGGCGCACACCTTGTTGATGAAGTCCGTATAGCAAGAACATGTACTAACGTAACGGATTAATTGAAATAAGTAATCGTCATACGATGAAAAAAAGGTTTTAAACTTTTCTATTTCTTATTAAAAAATTAAAGTTTCTTTTATGTATTAATGCCACTTTACATTTATTTGTGTTAAAATTAATTTTGTTTTGTTAATGATGGCGATAACAGTGACCTATGTGGCAATTGAACTTTGTGAATATACTATACCCGATAGATTTTACACTATCATGCATTATCAGTTGCCGTTTTGTTGTCCGGGGGTGGGGGATGAGGGTGTACTTTTCACAAAAGCAAACTCTAGGCAAAGTTGGGTCTTAAATTGTCTTCTTTTCTTCCTAGGATTTTTTAAAATACAAAATAGTTTACGATGTATTTACGTTCCACTTTGATTTGACTCAGCAACTGACAGACACTCATTGTATGTTACATGTAGGTAAGAAATGAAGCAAGATTTTTCTAATTTCTTTCAGTATATGTCACAACATCTGTTAAAAACAATTGTTCTGTAGTTCTTATGAAAGGTACTATATACAATATAGATCTCTTTAATGATTTTTATTTACTGTAAAATAGTTTTAAAGTAACAGAATTATTTTTAGATGAAAATGACCGACATCAATTATTGGGCATTAAGACCACTGACCAGTGAAATGATTGATGTATCTGCTGCTGATGTGTTACCTTTAATACCCGTGTACCACTGCCTGACACAGTAAGTTAGAAAAAAAAACTGCTATTCAAAATATATTGCAAGGTTAAAAACGTCAAACATAGGCCTAGTATATCCTTTATAATACGTTTTACGAGATTAAGATAATGCAATAAGTATTAATTATATTAAATTAAGTTGATATTTTTAATCTTTAAATAGTTACAGTATGAATAGAATCAAGTGACCCCAAAGGATTGTTCCATAATGCCAAAAGTTATGTTAAAGTGTCAAAATAAAGTAAATGCAATAAATAACAAGGTCTGACGTAACAAATCCATATACAAAAACTATTTTGACAATTTGATTTCAATTCAATCTGAAAAAGGACCGATAGACAGCAGATCAAGACGAGAATCGTTAAGATTAACAAAACAGATTCAATAAAAGAACAACAAAGATTAACAAACAATCAATTATAACGATCTGCGTACAAATGAATAACAAAATCACTAAAACATAATTTATGAGCTGTTATAAAATCATAGAGTGAAATCGTTTGCTCCAATAAGAAAGGTGTATAATGAACAGATTCATTGGATTTCATGTTGCTACATCATTAGTTTAATAGTGCTATGATTTTTTTCTCAGCTTTGGTGTTATCCCTCATTTGATTTACGACGTTTAATTGCTATCCTTAGTATTTGTCTTTCTTTTTTAAACCCGTATGCAGCACTGACTCGTGATAATGCCTCTTTTTATACGTTTGTCTTGTTCATTAAAAATACTTTTTAAAATAAGCAGACATAAAAGTAAAACACATTCTATTTTCAATTGTGTACTTTCAGGGATTTATCTCCAGATATGTTCAGTTGGTTTGATTGTCAAAGTATCGATAGTAAATTTAATAACCCTAACAATGCCAAGAGATCAGTTCCAGTGTGTAAGAGATTGAAGAAGATAAAACATCCATGAATTGTGTTATGTTCAAAATTTTGCAGACCTGTAGATTTAGTGACAAAGAGACTCGAATTGAAATATTTCGGACAGTTTTATACTTTCTATTTTCGGACCAACCACAGATCATAAGAACTACGTCATCCAGACCCGAAGTGAAATATTTCGGACAGTTTTATACTTTCTATTTTCGGAACAACCAAAGATCATAAGAACTGCATCATCCAGACCCTAAGTAAAATATTTCTATTTTCAGACCAATCACTGATTGATCATAAGAACTACATCATCCAGACCCGAAGTGAAATATTCGGACAGTTTTATACTCTCTATTTTCGGACCAATCACAGATCATAAGAACAACGTCATCCATACCCGAAGTGAAATACTTCAGACAGTTTTAGACTTTCTACATATTGGTAATAATCGCAAATCATAAGAACTACATCATCAATCAAAACATTTGACAATCAGTTTTGTCATTGTATTTTTAAACTAGGAAACGGAACATTATGTGCTATAGTTTATTGTGCTTACTTTAAAAAGAAAAATTGTTTTTAATTTATTTCCTTTTTGCAATAAATGTTGAAAATAAAATGTGTTTTTTTGTTCGTTTTGGACGATCTCAGAAGCGGGCACATATTGATATTTTAATTTCATTTGTTATGATATCTTTATATTGATAATTTTTTGTGTATTATAGATTTACTTAACCTGTATTTCACCTGGTCAATAAAAATTATCCATTACCATCTAAGAATCAATGAAGAAACATAAATGGTCGAACAGCGTATCTGGTGCCGAAAATTAGTACTGTTAATGTTATTACTACCACTGGGGCGATATCTCTGCTAGTGGACTGTTAGTTCCTGAGGGTATCACAAACCCAATAACCAGTTCTTCGGTACCGATACGAAAATACGGATATTGTATTATTTAGATTTGTTAGAAAATTTCGAAATCATTTTAAAGTAAGGGATGTAACTCCCTCCTGTACAACTCTGATTCCTGACCGAATTTAGCCTACTTTTGTTTGTTTTTGGTTATATCAGCGCTTCAACGTTTGTATTATATTTGGACCTTTAAAGATTTTGTCCTCGAGAATAACTGAAAAGACAATAATTGTCGAAATACGCATCTGCCGTAGAAAAATTGGTACTGTTCATGTAAATAACGTGATGCTCAAGCGAGGATATATTGGTTCTCCTCAACAAAACAAAGTAAACAAGACAGATACCAATCATGTAGCATACTGATAGGAGAAACTAGCACGGACACATACAATGAGTTTATCCTTAAATAAAGAACTGGATTCTAAAGCTTTGATTGCTTCAGGTAAAGTATTCTAGGCTTAAATAGTAACTTGGAAAAGAATAACAAGAAAAAAGATATATGAACAATGCAAAAGTTCACAGCAAAACATATCTACAGTATACATATTCATTTTTAGAATACAGTCAACTGCAGTTGGGAAACTTTACCAACATCAATATATCTATCTCCAACTGTGTGTCAAATTTTTGCCGAAATTATTAAAAAAAATCATTGTATGATATGTGAGATTTTAAAATTTTGTAGTAAAATCATGTTATTTATTTTCTGTAAATCTTTCAACAGATTTTTTCAAAAAGTCTACAATTACATCTAAAATTTTGCGAATAAAACTTTCCATTATTTCACCAAGGTTTTGATCTACATCATTATGTGTTTCTATGACCTTTTCTATCCACGGTAAGTATGAAGCCACTTTTGTGTAAATGTCAGGAAATCCTATCGCTTTGCATGACCTATCTCCCCAAGATGTCACTCCATACAGAACGAACTGTCCATTGATATTGCATACTAGTGGTCCTCCGGAATCTCCCTAGAAATAATACAAATTACATAAAATGTTTTGATGTTTGAGTGTCAGTATGCACTGAGGAAAATCGAATGCCAACCAAAACTAAAACTATGTACTGTATTTATGTAAGCTTGTGTATACTAAACGAAATACGAGCTTTTATATTCCAGATTTGGACGTTTTATATTTTGGGTTATTGTATATACGCCATGTAAAATATAATAGTAGAATTACTTTTGCTGTTGGTTGTTTTTATGTATTTCAAAAATTAAGAACTTAAAGAGAGGGGAAAGATACCAAAGAGATATTCAAACTCATAAGCCAAAAACATGCCATGACAAAAAAAAAAAAGAAAAACGACGAGAAGACAATAAAAGCACACAAAACATAACATCGAAATTTAAAGACTGAGAAACACAATCCCCACAACAATTCGGAGGTGATCTCAGATGCTTCGGAAGGGTAAGCAGATCCTGCTTCACATGTGACACCCGTCGTACCATGCAATTTCAAACCCGGTGATAAGTCTAATTCGGTAGGTCACAATCGACGAAAAGAGGGCGGGAACTGAATCTGAGATACCGACAAAATCATGGTAAAAAAACGACTAACAACAGTCCTTAAACTACCTCACTAAAAGCTGATTTAAAGATTGGGCAACACGAACTCCACCAAAACTCGGGGTTGAACTCAGATGTTCCGGAAGGGTAAACTGATACGTCATTACTTGGTAAACGTCTGCTCTTCTCGGCAAAACGTATACGAACTACCAGGTAAACTGATCGTAATATTTCATCAACAAAAATTATCATCTTAAATATAGAACATCACTTGCAATATGTTTGCATAATCTAAATATTTGATATGCACATGAAAAAGGATAAAATTATGAAGAAAAAAAAAACAATTTATGTAAAACACTACATGGTTGTACCTGGCATGATCCGGTATTGCCGTTTCCTGCACAAATGTGACTATCTAGTATATCTCCTTCCCATGATTGATTACAGCTGGCGGTAGACATAATAGATACATTTAAATGTTGAAGATGGCGTCTATCAGCGATACCTACAATAAAACACTCAATTGGCAAGTGTATGCGTATTTTTTTCGATTCAGTTTAATGATACCAAATCCAAAACATAAGCCTGACAAACAATACATATATAATACAGATTTCAGTGCGCATATGACAAATGTTTCCGAAAATGACGTCTTGACGAAAGGGTTTTAAAACCAATACTACAAAATGTTTTGGGCATCAAAACAAAACCAAAAAAGGTCTAAACTTTGCACGAGGAAATTACAAACTAAGTTTAAGAACTTCTACATAATTTATTACCTGAGACTTTGTTCCAATATAACATTCAGTAATGTTAATGCCAACGGCCTAGCTACTGAGCGTTTGGTAACCTCGGAGAAAAACCATGGATTAAATAAAATGCAATGCCATCGATAAAACTAAGAAATAATTGAGTGTCTTTTCGAATTTGCATTAAATATTCAACTAGTATAAAGATTTGTCTTACGTAAAATTAAGCATCGCGAGGAAACGTCCAAAAACACTGTGTTTCAAGATTAAATTGCAGACTGTTTGAATCCTTCACCGACAATGAACTACGATTCATAAATTGATCTCCTTTATCAGTAAATGTACATATATAAACATCTATGTCATTTGGTCTCCGGTGGAGAGTTGTCTAATTGGCAATCATACCACATCTTCTTATTTTTATATAGTACAGACATTTGTTTGTTGTTTAATACGGTAATGTGACCTCTAAATTTGATTTTCTGTTTGTAATATTACTATCTTATTGCGGTAGAATCCACATCACCTTATCTTATATAAGTGATCCTTTGACTTTCCATTCAGTCAGCAATCGGATATCTTTCAGTTACATAATAAAAAGATGTTTATTGTTAAAACAATCCTTGTTTGAGACGTAAGAAGTTAATTTTCTTCTTCTTCGTATTGATGTGTAAACAAACGACTATTATTTTTTTCCAATTCACATACGTTGCAAAACAAAACAAAGGAACATCTTACATAATAATAATTACCTTTTGTGGATCCCCATCCGCTGATGTAACAATCAGAATTGATGTCATCTATATTGGTGAGGTTACTGATCGGAAGACAGGCAGTTCTTATGTAATGATCAGAAATGTCGACAGGATGGACTAGTCGTATCAAGGCGATATCGTAAGGTATACCAGGAACATTTGCAATGTAGTCTGGATGCTGTATGTTTGGTTGTTAGAGATAAAAATAAATGGAAATGGTAAGCATCCATATTTTATTTTAATTTTAATATGTTTCACTTAAATATCTCTTTGTATGACGTTTCAAACGACAATTGGCATAAAACAAAACGATTTTTAAGTTATTGTACCCATTTTTTGTGTTATTCGTTATCAAGTACCAAAAGCTGCAAGTGAAAAAAAAAATGGAATATATCAACTGATTTTTGGAATTAAATTAACTAATTGAAATATCTTGATAACTATTAGTAATTATGATAGACCGTAAGCCCAACAGTGTCTACTAAATATAGTACAACATGACGAAAAAGTTATATTAATATTCGAATTTATTCCTTTAAATATCATTAATTCAATGGTATCCGGGGTAGAGAAACATGGCTGCCTGGTCCTCCTCCATCTGACCGGAGGACACCTGTTGGATTTTCAAATATCCAACGTGTCCGCTTTGATTAACTGAAAGTTATGTATGGGAACGCTCTTTGCATTTTAAAAATCCATAACAACAACACTTCTGAAGTTTACCGTGCGGGATCTGTTGTAAGGCAGAAACATTTATGATAATATCCCTTGAATTATAATGTCCCGTCGCAGTCAGACTTGTATGTCCCCTGTCCAGATCAATATCCTTTTCGTATATCTGATATCGTTAACATGTTCGCGTCTTAAATATGAACGTCATACTACATGAAAACCAACTAGCGTCCATCAATTTAAACAAATAGGTTCAAAATTACCACAATAGCATTGTACCGTGCTACCGTTTGTACTGCACATTTGAATGTATTTAACTAAGGTATCCAAAGCAAAACAGCAACAGGGAATGCATTTTAATTGAAATTATTTCAAAACATTTTGAACAAAAGTAGTACTTGCCACAATCCAGGTGTCTATCTGTACTAGTTCCTCGTTACCTGTCATAACGACTTTGTGGTGTTCACCAAGTGTTAGGTTCACTTCTGGTATGATTTTCCTGCAGTACAAAAAGATTCATCAAACAAAAACAAATATCTTTACATTATATGACCCTGCCCAAAGACAGGACGTCTAGTTGACTGTCGTCTGTCGTAATTGCTTTTATTAGGCCGTTGGTTCTTCTGTTGTATTGTTTCAAATTGTGTTACATATATCTTAGGTATTTTATAGCTTATTAGACGTTATGGGTTCTAATCATTGTTGAATGTTGTATGGTGACTTTAAGTTGTGTACAGCCTTGGTCTTTTGTTGGATAGTTGTCTCATTGGCAATCATACACAATCTATGTCTATATAAATTTCAAACCAGAAGTTTTTTGTAACATTTGTAACTAGTGGTGTTTAGAAAAGGTTTAAGATTTTAAGAAGCAATAACATGCGCTTTGGGAATGATCACCATCTTTTAGTATGTTTTGTGTAGCTAAGATAATGGAAAAGAGTAGAGAAGCGGCATATGTGAACTTTGATTGCTTTGGTATGAGCAATATCATGTTAAATACAGGAAATTGAGCTAAAATAACAAAGAAACTGTGTTGAAAATATATATAGCACAGAAATTATTCAAAGGAGGTTCATTGATCAAGCATCTGTTGAAGCAATTAAATAATTAAGACATGTAATAGATTTATAATAAAGGGAAACTATACCGTTCCAAGCAATGCGCAGCTGTAACGATCCATTGATTAGATATAAGGGTCCCACCACAAAAATGTCCATCTGCATCATCTATACTGACCATCCAAGGCCATTCCCCTTCTTCCGCAAACTGACCACCTACTATTCTAGATGTTTGATGAAAATGTTTAAGTTTTATTCTTGTGACTTTACCACAAATATCTGTTTCTGAAAGACATAAAGTGTATTCTGAGTGCAATAAAATCTTAATATTTAAAGCATTAAATTAATAAATCATATTCTGGTATCTTTTTGGGCTTGTATTATATTTGCCTTTGGGTTTATATGATCCGTTCATCCTATTTCGACTCTTCAAAATTCAAGAGTCTATCCTAAATTGAGGTAAATTATATGGCCTTCCAAATACCGTTTCGATTCCTAACATCACTGAAGAGACAATAATTGTCGAAATCCGGATATGGTGTACTAATTTTGGCACCTTTTGTTTGCGATATATCATCTTTTCCGCAAGTTTTTTGTTTTCTTTTTGGTATCAAATTAATAGTTAAGATCCATTTTGTTACATCTGGTGATCCGTTTATTTGGCAATCGCCAATGGCAGTCAGCAGGGTTTAAGAACATCCGTTGTTCTACCTGCTAGTCAAATGCGTTTTGTTAAAATATACTTTTTCACTCATTTGGTCTTTTGGAAAATGTTGTTTGTGCTGTATTTAGACCCCTCTACCAAGAAATTTGTTTTGCATGCACACGTATAAAAATTGCGGTTTTTATCCAACGAAATCATAGGTTTGAACGTTTGTTTTCAATTTAGACTTGTTTATATTTTTTCGTTTGGGCTTGTATTATATTTGCCTTCGGGTTTATATGATCCGTTCATCCTATTTCGACTCTTCAAAATTCAAGAGTCAATTCCAAATTGAGGTAAATTATATGGCCTTCCAAATACCGTTTCGATTCCTAACATCACTGAAGAGACATTAATTGTCGAAATCCGGAAATCCGGATATGGTGTACAAATTTTTTCACCTCATGTTTGCGGTATACCATCTTTTCCGCAAGTTTATTGTTTTCTGTTTGGTATTAAATTAATATAATTAAGATCCATTGTGTTATATCTGTGATCTGTTTATTTGGCAATCGCCATGGCAGTCAGCAGAGTTTAAGAACATCCGTTGTTCGACCTGCTAGTCAAATGCGTTTTGTTAAAATATACTTTTTCACTTTTTTGGTCTTTTGGAAATTGTTGTTTGTGCTGTATTTAGACCCCTCTACAAAGAAATTTGTTTTGCATGCACACGTATAAAAATTGCGGTTTTTATCCAACGAAATCATAGGTTTGAACGTTTGTTTTCAATTTAGACTTGTTTATATTTTTTCGTTTGGGCTTGTATTATATTTGCCTTCGGGTGTATATGATCCGTTCATCCTATTTCGACTCTTCAAAATTCAAGAGTCAATTCCAAATTGAGGTAAATTATATGACCTTCCAAATACCGTTTCGATTCCTAACATCACTGAAGAGACATTAATTGTCGAAATCCGGATATGGTGTACAAATTTTTGCACCTCATGTTTGCGGTATACCATCTTTTCCGCAAGTTTATTGTTTTCTGTTTGGTATTAAATTAATATAATCAAGATCCATTGTGTTATATCTGTGATCCGTTTATTTGGCAATCGCCATGGCAGTCAGCAGGGTTTAAGAACATCCGTTGTTCGACCTGCTAGTCAAATGCGTTTTGTTAAAATATACTTTTTCACTTTTTTGGTCTTTTGGAAATTGTTGTTTGTGCTGTATTTAGACCCCAATACAAAGAAATTTGTTTTGCATGCACACGTATAAAAATTGCGGTTTTTATCCAACGAAATCATAGGTTTGAACGTTTGTTTTCAATTTAGATTTGTATATATATATATATATATATATATATATATATATATATATATATGTATATGTAGATATAAGAAGATGTGGTATGAGTGCTAATGAGACAACTCTCCATCCAAGTCAAACTTTATAAAAGTAAACCATTATAGGTCAAAGTACGGTCTTCAACACGGAGCCTTGGCTCACACCGAACAGCAAGCTATAAAGGGCCCCAAAAATTACTAGTGTAAAACCATTCAAACGGGAAAACCAACGGTCTAATCTATATAAAAAACGAGAAACGAGGAACACTTATGAACCACATCAACAAACGACAACTACTGAACATCAGATTCCTGACTTAGGACAGGTGCAAACAATTGCAGCGGGTTTAAACGTTTTAATGGTACCAAACCTTCACCCTTATCTGAAACAATAGTGTAACATCACAACATAGAAAGACACACTATAAAATATCAATTGAAATGGCTTAACTCAATCAAAAGATATATTAACACCAGTGAACATACACTGAACAAAAAAATTTGATCTATAATACAATGTAAATACAAAATAAATAAACTAAGGGAAGAATATTATAATTAAAGTAACATGTTATACCGCTGTGAAATGTTAAACAATTTAAGAAAAACAATATGATTGAACAAAAATATTAGCCATTTGCAATTCCTTTAAACACAGGTAAATGAAAATAATTTTGTTGTTAGGTATACGTGTACAGTTCAATTGGAGAAAGGAAATATTTTTACAAAATAAATAATTTTAATATTCATAGTACGAAGAAGAGAAAAATTATAGTAATACCAAACACCTATCAAAGCTGGTATATAGACCAGATATAACCCTGAATAAGTAAACATTAAATAACAAAAAAGCATTACAATTAGTATCTACAGGTCAAATAAACAAGAAAGTACGATTTGAGAGTACTCGCAGTTACTGACAGCTAGTTAAAAGCCAAACACAATTAATAATAAAAAATCATGCATCAGACACTAAAAACAACTAAAACACATCCCAGGGACTTAGTATTTTAACGTCATGGACAGTCAAAGAAGACAAGACTTGTGCAATGCCAAAAATAAATGTATCGACAGGCAGTAGGATAGTTAGGAGTTAACCTCTTTATAGATGAAAATGAACGTGGGTGTGTCATTATACATCCCGTTTGAAAAGAATACAAATTTAGTAATGTTTTAATTTGCTGATGACAAAATCGATATTAGTGCCAATGTAAACTATATTCAAAGATCTAATTACATCATTGGTAAGATAACTTTTACTAATAAGTTTGTTTAAAGGTTCGATTAGTTTACACGGATCACATAGTGATTTCCGCGCTTTAAGTACAATATTACCGTAACATTTAGGATGTGAAATACCGTTTTTAATCAGTTTTCTACAGGTACAGCAAGATTTACTAATCAAATCTTTGTATCTATGAAAGAATTTAGTAAATTCAAGATTTATTCCTTTGGTTTTTGGCTCTTGAACCTGATGTACTGAATGAGAGAGATGAAAAACAGTTTTATCAAAAACCAAAGGAATAAAATTGAACTTCTTACTATTTAACTCACACAATTACTTGTTTTGATTTAATAATCGCTATGTACAATAAGCTGCAAAAATATATTTAAAAGACATGTACAATAAGCTGCAAAAATTTCTTTACAGCATCTGTTTTTACCTGGATGGCCGCACGCGCCTGATGAAGCTAATTTGTTTAGCGAATTATCGCGTGAATATATAAAATATAATAACTATTTTTATAACACTCATTAGTGTGTTAAAGTTACATTATTAGGTATTTATATAATTTAATTTAGTAACTGCATCAGTTTATTTTCAAACTGATCCACGCCTAGATAGATTGAATGTTGATTGTTGCTATTTTTAGACACTATATATATATATATATAGAGAGAGAGAGAGAGAGATTCTTACATTGATACCAGTGGATTATCGGATTTATGCAATCGAGATAGTTAAAATTTATAATTTAACTATCGAGATTGGATAAATCCGATAATCCACGAGTAACTATGTAAGAATCTGTTTCTCTAATGATTAAAAAATAAATTTTCCTTTTTTGCTAAACTAAAATCACCTTTGAGTGCCTTCCACTTTCCATAAAGTTGTCAATTTCATTAACACCTGTTAGCATATTTTGATGCATCCAGTGCGCTGAGAAAGGTTATGACCCTTAAACTCATCCAATCATCATCTGAGATCACTGGCAACCACACGTTGATTAAATTTTTTTATACAATGGGTTCGGAAAGGGATAAATTTCCATAGAATTAGAGAAATATATATATATATATATATATGTTTATATCGAGTCACGTGACCATCGGCATTATTATGAGGTCATCTTGATAGTAGATAAGATGGCGTATAGTCTAAAATACGTACGAAATGCTGATACATTATAACAAGTGCATGCATTGTTAAATGTTTCTTTTTTACTTTTCATAACTTGCATAAACGTTTTAGTATGTTATAAATCAAATATAAGAATTTAAGCCAAATCGATGAACATGAATTTGACAGCTAATGCACCTTTAATGCACACAATTATCTCGATTTTAGAAAAACAAAACATAATAAATAACAAGCCATTTATAGATGTCACATGCTGGTAACAGCAATTACCAATAATTCGAATCTGTTGACTGCAAAAATGATATAGAAAGCACTGAACGGATAAACTTTTAGCTTTGTAGTGAAGGGATATAATTGTTTTTGTATATGAACGACACAGAGTTGTAACTGCCAACAATACTACATTGTGATCTGTATAAATTGTAAATACTAGATATTGTAACGTCTAATAACATAAACGGTACCAATTTTTCTGCACCAGATGCGCATTTCGACAATCAATGCCTCTTCAGTGATGCTAGAGGCCAAAATATTTGAAAATCCAAAGCTTATTAAAAAGATGAAGAGCTATAAACCAAAAAAAGGACAAAAAAGTATAACCAAAGCCGGGCAAGGAATCAGAGCTTTGCATTACACAGAGATCAGATTTTCTATGTGACGGTTGATATTCCAGGTATTAGTTGTATAAATTATACTGAATGTGAAGCAGAAGGAAATATCTACAATGTACTGGCTAGGTATCTGTATCTGTAAGACACTTCATAAATACTATCGCGACATTTTGCATAATTACCTGGCTGTGGTGGTTCCGGGTGTGTCGTAGATGGAGCTGGTTTACAACATGTCTGACTGTTACGACAAAGAGCCCACGTATCTGTAAATCCTACACATACTGATGTATCATTTACACAAGTACCTCCCTTAGGTGTACAGGTATCAATATCTGGTAATGGAGGTCCTGGAAAACTCGTTCCTGAGGAATACATCGTGCTAGTTATATCAGATTTTCCTTCGTCAATACATATAAAAGGAATGTTTTCTTAGGTTAAGAAAGATGGAATCAAGGCAGCAAAGAGGGGTCGCATATAATTAATTACACGATATAATTTAACCATAAAGAGTTGTTGAGACCAGAAACCATATGAAGTGGAGGAACCAACTATAGGTCACCGTCCGGCATTACACAAAGAACAAACACATTCCGCATATTCTGCTATAAAAGGCATGACAAAATGCTAAGCAATTTAAATCAGAAAACCAACGGCCGGATTTATGATAAAACAATAAACGTAAAACAACGACAACTACTCAGTCTGAATCACAGGCTCCTGACTTGGGACATGCACATATAGCATGCAGCTGTGGTAAACCCTCATCTGGAACAGTGGTGTAACAGCATAAGATATGAAAACAAACTGTAAAATTCAGTTGGAAAAAGTTTGCCCAATAAGACTGACACGAAGCACAAAAATTAACATTTTGTAAAGCATGACTACTTTAAAGCGTTCGCTGTTTGTATTCGTATTTTCTTTTTGCCATTAAACCCGTCTGATTGCATTTATCTTGATCGTTTTTGTATTGTGTCTCTGGTTGTCCATTTAACAGACTCTGTACGGTATTTTAGGGAGACCATGATATTTTTTTTGTTTGTTTTTGTTTGTTTTGTTATTTGTTTTTATGTTTTTTATACGGGTGAGGGGTTTGTGTGTGTGTGTGTGGGGGGGGGGGGGGGGGGGGGGGGGTCGAGAATCCCTTTCATTGATCATTGGGGAAAATGCAGTATTCAAGTAATTGTTTTTGTATTTCTATATCTAGTATTCATTATTACACCAAAATTCTTGATTTTATTTCTTTATTTTTAAAATTGCAGTATTTAAACATATTTCACTTGTCTGGTAAAATAAAAAAAAAAAACCATATAATTTGATTAGCAGGGTTGCAACTCCTTCAGACAAGGGGTGTACTTCTCAATATTGCATGTTCTTTTAAGGCAATTTTATGTATATTTGGATTCCATAACTTTTTGTATGAAACGCACCTACAACATTATATTTCAGATACACGTATTTTGTGCATTAAGACCTATATGATGGAGTTCCTGTTGCTGAATCTTTGGTTTTCTATGTTGTGTTTTGTAGAGTGTTATTTGTCTTTTGGTCGTTTTCCGTTGTTGCCATGACATTTTCAGTTCGTTTTCGACTTATGAGTTTGAATATCTCTTTGATATCTTCCGCGTCTCTTTTATATCAATCGTTTAAAATTTAGTTTTGAAATTTCAAATCTTAAGTTTTCATCTAAATGTCGAAAAAAAAATTTTAGAATGCGCAATTTGATTTGTTTTGTTCTGTTCCGTTCCGTTCCGTTCTGTTGTTATTGTTTATCTTTATTGATAAAATAAATGTCTTGCAAAATAATTACATTGAAAGACATCAAAGAAAGTTGCATTTTGTAGTTTTCTGCATCTGCAATACGAATAGTAGAAACTGCATTCTGAGAAGAAAAGGTTGAATGCATGGCAGACTCTTTGTTATAGGTTTCAAAATACCTAATTCATTATCGGAATGGATGTAAATATATCTGAAACCAATATTTCTTCGAAAAAAGGATTGACATCTATCATCAGTAATATTTAAATTTTAAATCATGTTGAAATTGCCATTTATCATAAGATTTTTATTAAATCGGACACGTGAAGTGATTAAATTATATTCTGTAAGCATTGGTAAGATATCCTGATGTTGTCATATAAGCGTTACGATTATACTTTGGAAAATAGAATTGCCTTGAATCAAGTAAAACTTTGAAAACAGAGAGGAAAAAGACAGTAGTTGCATTGTTTTTTTTTTTTGAAAGACCAGCTTTAATCACAAAAAAATAAATATAGGTATGACTGACCTTCTGTTATAAGATGAAGGAGAACCAAACATACAATACGACTATATCGCATTTTTCTGCTTTATTTAGTTCTATCTTTCAATCTTACATATACTGTAATGCTTTTATGATATGTAAATAAGTGTGAGCATATATAGTAATAAACAGTTGTTGATTTGAATTTGTCATAAATGTATAAGTATTTGTATGGTAGATAAGTATTGTATATTATGTTTGCTTTATTAAGTATTATTTTGATTTAGTGCCTAATAGGTGCAATTGTGAAATATTCAAACATAAATTATACCAGTAGAGATATTTTCTTTTATATTTTTATCATGTGTGCACATGAGGTGCTGTTTGTTTTTTTTACATGCTTACATTTTCTGCTCTACTTTTTTTCTTTTCTTCTCCCATGGTTTCTAGAATACAAATGCATGTATTTCTAGGTTGTTTTTTTTTTTTGGGGGGGGGGGGGGGGGGTTAAAAAATTTGTTTTATGACATTTCAAAATTGGAATGAAAAGTAATCTTACGTCCCTTGAAGGTCTTCTGTTACACTGAGACTAAAAGATGTGGAGTAGGAAGATGCTTTGATATATTGATGGAAAAGGATCAATGGGAAGAAGACAAAGAGGATATACATATGTGTATGTTGACGTTTGAAAATGATTGTTCATCTCCCGCCCTGTAATATATTGACCGTATTTGACTCTATACCCTGATTACCCGTTTTGAACTAGATAAACATCCTAACACGGCAATTTTACGTACTATCTCACAGGGTAACAGTCCATATAATGACATACTATGCATATTAAGAAGTATTCTACCCGTAAGTCCACCAACAGTTGCTTTATATCTTTTTTGAGTAAGCATAGGCATGCTACCACAATGACCATTGATGCTTTTTGACATTGAGGTCAGAATATTGCAGAAACACGTGTTCTACGCAATACACAAGTCTTCTCCAAATTCAGTCTGATGATTGATATTATTCTGGGGGGGGGGGGACTTTGTTACTAATGTATTTCAGTTGAAGCACTTGAAATGTTAATTTGAAATTGAAAATTTTACTCTATGCTGACATTTAAGAAAAGAGGTCGCTTGATAGCATGTATGTAACAAATTTATTTATTGTGAAAAAATGTTTCCGTACGTACTCCTAACAACAAAATTATTATATTTAAATTTACATGTGTACGTTATTTTATTTAACGTCATTTTGTCCCAGGTTAGAGTTGTATTTTTGACATTGTTCCTATACATCTTTTTTTATTAATATTGTATCTATATTGTGTCATAGATCAAACTTATTCGTTCAGTGTATGTTTAGTTGTTTTTGTTTATATGTCTTTTTGATCGAGTTTAGCCATTTCAATTGATATTTTATAATATATCTTTTCATGTTGTAATCTTACACTGCTGTTTCATGTTACGGTGAAGATTGGCGCCTGTTAAAACGTTTAAACCCGCTACATTTGTATGCACCTGTCTTAAGTCAGGAGCCAGTTGTTCAGTGGTTGTCGTTTGTTGGTGTTGTTCATAAGTGTTTCTCGTTTTTATATAGATTAGACCGTTGGTTTTCCTGTTTGAATTGTTTTACACTAGTCATTTTGGGGGCCTTAATAGCTTGCTGTTCGGTGTGAGCCAAGGCTCCGTGTTGAAGGCCGTATTGTGACCTATAATTGTTTACTTTTTATACATTGTGATTTGAATGGAGAGTTGTCTCATTGGCACTCATACCACATCTACTTATTTTTATGTAAACAAATCATTGTATTTTCTTTAATGTATCTGTTTTATGAATTTATGCATTTATTAGATTTGTTAATTGTGGGCGCTTCATGGGATGAGGAAATAAAGTATCTGTATATTGTAAATAAATTACACTAACCATTGTGATTGTGAATCTCCGCAGTCACGCTGTTGAAACTTTTACGTTAGTTACCGACAAAGCTTTCGTGGGTATTTTTGTTTACCTCAATGGACGAATAACTTAGATGCGCAAAATTTTAAACAACATTTCCTTTTAAGTACAAATAAGAAATTGATTTTACCATTTAATAAATTACCGCAGACGACTTCGAATCGACCTGATATGAATAGAACACCCGGACGTGGATATGTTGTACCTTACGTTTCCGATTTATGTTGAAGATAAATTTCTTTATAAAATCTAAAGTCTTTATTTGTAAGAACCTGATAACAGGAGTACTGTTTAAACCATGAATATATCTAATCGTAAACATTATGGAATATACTTTACATGGAAATATTTTTTGTTTTTGTTTCATTTTGGCCTGCGTGCGAGGTAAGATATGGATACAGAAATATCATTTTTTTTGTACATTAACTTTTTTGTATACGTTTTTTTTTTTAATTGTTCGTAGGGTACATGTACCTATTTGCGTAGATTTTGTTTTTCCCTCCTACCTTCTTTAGTAACCGGAATAAATACGTTCCATTGCACGAACGTGATAATCATAAAACTATAAATTTAAACCTCTCGACCTAAAAAATTTGTTCACAAAGCTAGAACTTCTACATAACATGAAAGCATTTAGAACCAACTGCAAGATTCAATTGTAAAATTTCATGCCAAACAAATTGATTTTTCACAAGAATTCAGACCAATTAGATTTGTTATCAAGTGTAATTATTTCATTATAGACACAATGAAGGCATCTAGCACAAGTAAATATGCTGCATTTGAGATATATATATACAAAATTTTTATTTATTTTACCTCAAACAGTTGTTTTTAATACCATCAATACAGAATCTTATAATATTGCGGACACTTTTTTTTTGAATTAATAGAAAAATTAGTGAATAACAAATACATTACAATATACCACATCCACTCCCATTACGTGGCATGTTCAGGACGAGAACAAATTAGCAATTAATACAATAGATAGGTCCTGTTATAAGGGGTCGACCGGGATGATAGGCGGGAAATTTGGAATGAAAACTGAATGTGAGGTTTATTTCATAGGGATTGAAATTTGGCCTTGCAACAGGCTACCAACGGACCCATCAAAGAGTTGTTGCAAGGGTTCTTAACTCTCTCGTGTAACTTATACAAAGACAAACAACAACGTATAACACATGGTCCAGATAGCCTGGCTTGGTTCCGACACACACACTGTGGTGGGTTTAACCAGTTTAACTTGCAACCCCCGCTTTTTTACCGATATAGACCACATACCGTAAATGTAGTGCATGATTAATTTTTCAGTTTAGGATGGTTATTGTTAGCTGTTTGCTATCGCTCATAGTTAGATGTAATCAATAACCAGGTGGAGACTAGCTGCCAAAAAAATTGTGTTTTTTTTATTTTATAGTAAAAAGATCGCATGGTGAAATCAGTTGTGACTTTAATGAGGGTAGTATGTGTCCCGGTTGGAACTTCGAACAAAACTCCACAATATATGCTGCTAACTGGACGATCTGGAAAGGCGCAACCTTGACAGCGAACACTGGACCACAGAGGGACCATTTAAAGAAAGGTTGCATTATAAAACGTGTTTAACAATTTCTGAATAAAGTGCACTGCATAAGAGCCCCTATGATAACAGAATACGGAAACTAGAAGTAGGACTAATTTTCTGCATATTCAATTCAACAGGAAGGCGAGTTTCAAGAATATCCGAATCTTAACAATTTTTTAGATTACCACATATTCACACGTGTACATATGGGTTCTGTCAACTTTAAGCAGTAATTAATTAATCAAATAAAAAAGTCTTAACGTTGGTAAAAACTGTAAGTTTGAGAGATTATGGGTATTATTGAGTATTTAAACATAAAAGGGAAGAAAATCCTAAACAATTCTTTTTTGATTATACCTATGCATTGTCTGTCCCGATAGAATTTGTATTTTTCTGTTGGCAACAGTTGTTAAACAATAGGATGTGTAGCAGAGGAAAAAGAACATTCAATCTGCAAACAATCCTCCTGCAGCACAACCCCCTATAGTACAAAATGGTTCTTGCCTAATATAGCGTTGTTTGTTGCGTAAAGGAGGAGGCATGACAAACGCCATTATATGACCCTGGAATGGCAAAACAAAATTGAAATTAGTAACGCCTCTCAAAATTGATGTTATATTTATTGATAAAAAAAACAGGTTAATACGATATGATATGGACGCGCTAGTGGAAAAAGGTCACTTATGATGTCACTATGACGTCATAAACATATTTTTGAAATTGTCAAACTTAAAGTAAAAAAGGCCATTTTACACGTAGTGTTGATCAAACTAGATATGAGACAAGGCCTAAAATCTAAAGTCTTTATTTGTAAGAACCTGATAACAGGAGTACTGTTAAACCATGAATATATCTAATCGTAAACATTATGGAATATACTTTACATGGAAATATTTTTTGTTTTTGTTTCATTTTGGCCTGCATGCGAGGTAAGATATGGATACAGAAATATCATTTTTTTTATACATCAATTTTTTTGTATACGTTTTTTTTTTTAATTGTTCGTAGGGTACATGTACCTATTTGCGTAGATTTTGTTTTTCCCTCCTACCTTCTTTAGTAACCGGAATAAATACGTTCCATTACCCGAACGTGATAAACATAAACCTCTCGACCTAAAAAAATTGTTCACAAAGCTAGAACTTCTACATAACATGAAAGCATTTAGAACCAACTGCAAAATACAATTGTAAAATGTCATGCCAAACAAATTGATTTTTCACTAGAATTTAGAACAATGAGATTTGTTATCAAGTGTAATTATTTCATTATAGAGACAATGAAGGCAGAGCACAAGTAAATATGCTGCATTTGAGATATATATACTTTTTTATTCATTTTACCTCAAATAGTTGTTTTTAATACCCTCAATACAGAATCCTATAACATTGCGGATACTTTTTTTATTTTGAATTAATAGAAAAATTAGTGAATAACAAATACATTACAATATACCACATCCACTCCCATTACGTGGCATGTTCAGGACGAGAACAAATTAGCAATAAATACAATAGATAGGTCCTGTTATAAAGGGTCCACTGTAACTGTAAGTTTGAGAGATTATGGGTATTATTGAGTATTTAAACATAAAAGGGAAGAAAATCATAAACAATTCTTTTTTGATTATACCTATGCATTGTCTGTCCCGATAGAATTTGTATTTTTCTGTTGGCAACAGTTGTAAAACAATAGCATGTGTAGCAGAGGAAAAAGAACATTCAATCTGCAAACAATCCTCCTGCAGCACAACCCCCTATAGTACAAAATGGTTCTCTATGGAAAGCCTCAGCTGTCATATATTAGAGATTTACAAAACGTTATGCTGAAGCTTAAAATGTAAAGTTAAGACAGCGTGATGTTGAATTGAGTCATCAAAATGCTAACTCTAAATTACAATATGCTAAGTTGAATCTGCGCAATGTTGACTTGTAATGACAAGTGCTTTAGTCGTGATAGTATAATGATAAGTCACGATGTTGTGATGATATGCCAAACACACGTAACGTTTGGTTTAATGTAAATGATGTGAAGTTGACGTTGCATGATGTTAGCTTGCAGATGGATATTGCTCAGTCATCCACTTCGATAGCTATGATAACAAATAAAACGAATAGCTAAACTGTATGGTGCTGACTTGTTATTAATAAATGTTGAGCTGAGATAGTACGATGTTATATCATTGTGATATTGCGATAGGTCTATCGTACAATCTGTTGATTTAAAATACCATGATGTACAGTTGAAAGTACATGATGTTAAGTTGAGATAACACGATGCTACACCACTATATTAAAACGAAAGGCCTACCATACAATGTGTTGACTTAAAACAACACGATGCAACGTTGAAAGTACATGATGTTAAGCTAAGATATCAAGATGGTTTATCAGTATAATGCTTTCAAAATTGATGTTGTATTTATTGATAAAAAAAACAGGTTAATATAATATGATATGGACGCGTTAGTGGAAAAAGGTCACTTATGATGTCACTATGACGTCATAAACATATTTTTGAAATTGTCAAACTTAAAGTAAAAAAGGCCATTTTACACGTAGTGTTGGTCAAACTAGATATGAGACAAGGCCTTACCCATACATAGATATTTTATTCACATTAGCATCATTGAAAAATACATCTCGTAGCAAAATATTTATTTGAATAAAGCCTTGGCTCACACCTTAATATTAATGACGAGATCTCAAAAAGAGACTACTTTTACAGCTTTTTCAGGTTAGCGTTAAATACAAGAAGTTATTAGCCAAAATAAATATATTTAAGACAATTGAAAGTTTAAAAGTATAAATACTATAAGGAGCTCAGAATATGATTTCTTCGGCTAATGAATAATTTGTAAGTTTAACTGTTTTATGTAACATTTTCATTTTACAGTCCTTATTCTTGACCCTCAGAACAAATCCGGGTCCGTTCGCCCAAATTCACATTGGCTCCCTTTCACGTTACCCCTTTGTACGCTCGAACCCCGCACGTGTATAGGGTTCATACGTGTTAAGGGAGCAAACGAACCCGATATGCTCACAACGGAGCCTATCTCCTTTTAGGTCGCATTTTGTATCTTATTACAAATAATAATAAAATATTGTAATATATAGTAAAGAAACAAAAAACTCGTTTTCTCTAAACATTACCAAAAATACACAAAAAAGCAAAAGCTGATGTTAATCTATGACACGTCAGATCAGTTTCAGACCTAGATACACATCGAAAACATCACGATCTCGTTCTGTGTTACTCATTATTTGTTTTATCTATTTTGTAGATGGCTTCTACATCTTTATGGAAACTACAAAGCAGAAACATCGAGACATTGCCATGTTTTATTCTCCTGTAATAGAACAAACAGATCAGGTTGTCAATGTCACATTTTGGTACCACATGCATGGAATATTTATCCAGAGTCTCAAAGTATATGTCTTTCCGGGTAATGAAGACCAACAGCTTGTTATGGCTATAAATTATGAACATGGAAAGCAATGGAAATTAGCTGTTGCATATTTGGAACATATTGGGCCTTTCAAAGTAATTAAAAATATTAGTTCATAAGTGAAAGTTGTTGTGTTGAAACATAAGTTCACCATATCAATTTTCGACTTATTACATGGAATGATGATGATGATAATGATAATAATGATGGATGACTGCTTAACGTCCAGCGGCAAATTAATATGCATATTCAGGACGAAAACATGTTAATGTAATATGAAATTTAGCCCTGCTTTGTACTAGACCGACACGCTGAGCCGGATTTTTAACGTGCTAGTTCACAAGGTAACAGTCCGCAGGAAGACATGTCATCTTACCCGGACACATTATTCTGACTCCGAGCTAACCAGTCTTTGCTATTACTTCTTAATGCCGCGTGCTTTGCGAAGAAGCAGCAAATACCAATTTTAAAGTCTTTGGTTTGACCCGGCCGGGGTTCGAACCCACGACCTCCCGCATTCGAGGCGAACACGAGACCACCGAGGCGGTTACATGAAATGAATTTGACTTTTAAAACATTCACGGCATCTAGATGTATGTGTGTTGTTACCCTTTCGACGTAGATTTTCGACGTATACACGACATCTTTTTTCATTCATTCATATGAAATAATTTAGGGAATAACGTAATTTTATCCATAAAAGAAGCATTAAAATATCTTTTCTGTACATTTGGTACTTGTATTTAAGAATTTTAGAAGCTATTTGGTTTATTGATTGTTTGTTGTTTGGTTTACGCTCAGTGGCTTATGTTTCATTCATTTTTGTAACGAGAACAAATAAAAATAAAAGAAGATTGTGTCTGAGGACACGAATGTCCATACTCAAGCTTTGCAAATTTCCTAGTTAAAAAGGGGCATAACTCTAGAACTGCATGTGAATCACCGCCCAAATTTAAACTCTGTCTGCAAGTATTAATTCTTAGCATTGTATATGAGTTTCATAAAATTAAGATGAGGAAAACTTATGTTAGAGTGTGGAAACGAAAATGGGACGGATGGAAGGACGGAAAGACTGAAAGACGGAAGGACGGAAGGTCAAGGGTAAAACTTAATGGCCCTTTTGCCCACGGCGGTGACATAAAAATGAAACCAATAGACCGACTTTGCAAAGTGTAATGAGATTGCACGGAACTTTCGGACGGGAAAAGAGAAATTATGGTATGTTGGACAGGCGTAGAATTTATGCCGTGCAACAACTATCGACGGAACCCTAAAAGTTGATGCGAATTCCTTAAGTTTTCAAACCACCCATTCACTAGCTCACATTCTGAACAATTGTTATAGAAGCTCTACTTTGACAAAAAAATTGTGCTTTTAAGTTTTGGTTTACTTAAACTAGCAAAGGAATTTACACGAATGAAACTTTTTTTTATTGAGAAATATGTTTTTACCATTTTGAACACTAATTTATTTTTTTATGAACTTGCATACACATTTTTTAGTAGCGGGGGACTTCCGGAAAACCATGTGTCACTAAAAGACTATAAACTTTGCTTGAAAGCTGGCATGTAAAAAGTTGACACATGTATAATTCAGAATATATACGGTTTTCTTAAGATAAAATATTTAGGGAGCTGTGAAACAGCGGTTGAATATAAAGTGATTTTGAATTGGCGGTGTGACACCTTAATTTGCAAAGAGTGTATCACTTTCCCTTTACACGGCATTGGTTTTAACGTTCCTATTCCGAATGGGTGTGACTGCTGGTTCCTTACACCGCTGACGAGAACCCCTCGGACCGCGTAAACTGGTTACGATTTTTATAACTCGAATACTCTCAGTAATAAAATTATTTTTGAGATATTGCTAAACTAATGTGGGACAAACGTCAGAAACACAGTAACCTAGATCCATCATCCCATATACTGATTGTTCATCTAGAGGTAACAAAACAACCTTCAATAAAACAAAGAACGAGATGACAGGAACTATCAAGAATACCACACAATAAAACCGACCACATTTACCATCAATAACCGAATCCTCAAAAAAAAACTGTCACAAAGACAAACAACATGGAACAAAACATGCTCCAGATATCCTACTTGACAACACAGTCGCGAATTAAAGAACGTGTTCATTTTCTGAAAAAAAGATGAAAGTATATGTTTAAAAGCTGTTGATTATAAAATATATATTTTCTTGTTCTCTAATATCAACCAAAAGACTTTAAAATAGCTTTCATACAAGACAAATGAGCACGATGAAATAAAATTGTCATATTTTAGTACAAAAATTATATGTTTATTATATATATTCTTTATCGATGCATTTTAAAGATAGGTTTCCAAGCAATGGTAGGAAGTACTGCTTCGGATATTGCTGTTGATGATATCACAATAACAGGAGCAGGTATTATTGCTAATCATTTTGCAAAATGATATTACTAACATTCAAAGATCGTGACAAATATGCATAAATAAAGTTTTCATTCAACCATTTGACTTTGCATAACCGGTTAAACTAAAGAAAATGATAATCATAAAACTTTTCTGTGTAGAGCTTTAAATGAAGGTAGATTTTCGGTAGTCTTTATACACATTTTATGCCCTTTAAAGTATTGAATAGTTTGAAAATAGAAAACAAGATTAATATGTTAATAAAAATGTGAGTACATATAGAGTAAAAAATAATGTAAATATGCTGTTATTTAGAAGAATGGGATGTTTTCATTCTATCTCTAAGATGTTGAATTTTGTTTTTTGTTTTGCAGAAATATATCATAGTTCCACTACCTTTGGTAAGTTTGTTTTCTATATCAGTCTTCCTCTTGCCTCGGCATATTATTATTGTAGAAATATATTATCACTCTACTCCCTTGGTAAATGTTGATTATACAAATATATAGTTCTGCCTTGCATTTAAAATGTTCTTGTAGATTATGATTCTTTTAATTGTCTTTTTTTAAGTATAAGTTTTTTTGATAAAATTAAACCATCCTTCCTCTTCCTTTTTGTAATTGTATAAAGATATCACATCTCATCCTATTATTCTTATTAACGGTAGAAAAACATGTATATTATCATCCGTCTATTCCTCTTTGTAATTTGTTAATTTAAGATTTATATCATCTGTTTACTCCTCAATTGATTTCTTCTCCTTCCTTTAGTAATATGACAATAAAGAGATCTGGTATGATTGCCAATGTGACAACTGTCCACCAGAGACCAAAGGACGGGGATGTGAGCAACTATAATAGGTCACCATACGGTCTTTAGCAATGCACATAAAACCTGTCAATCACGTGCAGCCCATGTTTTATTGGAATTAGAACAAAGCGAAAGAAGAACTTCATAATAGAATTGAAAGTTAGGGAAATTGTGACAATATTTTATATAGCAACTTTTATTGCTGTTTAAAAATATTTGATTTCCAGTCAAAGTGTTAAGTACGCGTCAGGTCATACCTAAGTAATAGAACACAGCAGGTAAACATTTGCAATGTTAATTCTGATAAAAAAGATGTGAAATTTGATGTCCTCCAAGGATCTATACTAGGTCCTCTATTATGTGTCTTATTAATAAATGACCTTCCCCTTGCATTAAAAATTGTAAAACAGACTTGTATGCTGATGATACTACTCTTCATAAATCCGGGAAAAACATAGAAAATTTACGTGATGATGTACAAGAAGATTTATGCAGAGTTGAAGAAAGGTGCAAAATGAATAAAATGTTCATCAATACTAAAAAGCAAAATATTTGGTTACTGGAACAAGTCAGAAGTTATCAAATCAATCTTTTCAACCAAATTTACAAATAAATTCAGAAACACTACATCATGTGAAAAATTATTAGGTGTTAAAATTGACAGCATACTTAGCTGGACAAATCAAATTAATCAAATTTGTGCTTGCATTTCATCAAGAATATACTTTCTTTCTAAATGAAAGAAATCTTTAGATATTAATGCCAGGAAAGCATATTATAATGGGTAAATGCTGTCGCTCATCGATTACTGCTGTATTGTTTGGGGAGAATGTAAAAATGAAGGGATAATAAGAATATTAAAACTTCAAAAAAGAGCAGCAAGATTAATTCTTGGTGCAGACCCTTTATCCCCATCAGCCCCCTTATTTAAAGAACTTGGATGGATGACAGTAGAAAATAGAATCAAATACCACAAATATTTACTGCTATATAAATGTATGCGGAAAGAAGCACCACAGTACCTACTTCAAAAGTTTCAACTTTTCTCTGTTAATAATCATTATGCTTTAAGGGGTGTTACTCAATGTAATTTGATAGTTCCTAAACCAAAACACTGAACTGTTTAAACAATCTTCGCTTATTCTGGATCAGTTTTATGGAACGGACTACCATATGAAATGCGTAAAGTGCAAAACACTTTTTGTTTTAAACAAATTATAAAACGATACTTGAGGCAGTCCCAATATTCAGTCTTGAAATGATTGCAACTATTACTTTTTTGGAATGTATGATTTTGATTTGTATATAATATCTATTTACTACATGCACTCTGTAACTGTTTTATATGTTCTAATGGTACATGTACACTGAACTATCATGACTATACGATTGTGAACTGACTATGTGTTAATATGTTGTATGTTTGCTTTTTTTTCTCTTATTATTATTTTTTTACTTGTATTGTATATGAGGGCCTCAGGGAAGATTAGTAATTGTAACTAACTGCGTTTACCGCTTAAAATAAAGAATTTATTATTATTATTAAAAGAAACATTTAATACAATACCATTTCTCATCTTAATATCTAAAGTTCATAGTCTCGGTTATTTTATTGTAGAAAAACTATCGCCTGCTTCTTTGTGTACCAATATAATTATGCATTTTGTCCCCTGTTTTTTGTTTAGTTGGTGTTTCATTGACGTTTACCGAACATCTCTTTTTATTGACCCTAACGCACATAAAACAGTGTATATAAAGTGCGAATCCAGTTAGTTCATTTTCACTGTTGTATGCGAGTATGTCTATTGTAGAATAAAGGATGATGGGAAAAACTGCGTTTGTTTACTTTTTGAAAATACAAAATAATAGATTTGAATGTATGTTTTAACAGAATTTCATTAGAATATAACTTTTTAATGTATAATAATAGGATTAAAGTCCAAAAAAGTGTTATTTAAGCAGCAGAATCCATAATATTGATTACTGAATGCGATTCATTTTAACTGTAGATGCGATGAATTATCACTGTAAGTGCAATCATTTCTGATGTGGAATTTTTGGAAGTGCGATGAATTTTCATTGTCGTTTTATATGATTATTCGACATACAACAACTGAAAATAGTTTTTAAATGACTTAAATATTGATGATATTTACAATTTGAAATGCAAGCTAGTCGTAGATGCTTACTTGAATATACACGGGTATAACCACGTTCATATCATGAATATTCAAATAGCGTTGGTGAGTTTGCTATTAGCTTGTCATGGATCCGAAAATTTACTGGAGCAGAACATCCATGAATATATGAATCGTACAGTGTCAAAATTCTGAGGTCAGTTTTTCAAGTAAATTTCTTCAAATAAAATTAAAACAACGGGTTTCTCATTCGTATTATGTATTTTAACAACAACAAAACACAAAATACACGGTCGCATTTAGTGAAAGAGCCAACCAACTATGCTCTATTTGTAGTTTAATCAAGTTTGAGTTACACATAGTGTTTGTTTCGCGATGTTTACAAGTAATTCACACACCTGTCTATTTAAAATAGTCACATGGTGTTCATGTAATATAAATGATATACAATGCTGCCAGGAGCAGTAAACTTTGTTTTCATAAACATTGAATACTTAACTGAACAGTTAGTCAATTAGTCTTTGGTGTAAATATAAGAACTGAATATCTACCAACATTGCTTCGCGATGTAGCGATTAACGTCCGGAATCAACTGTACGGCGGTTATGCCCCGTGGTATAGAACCTTTTAAATATGTAACAATAAACTGTTTTCAATTTTTCTTTGTATTCTCACAATTGCGTATTGGCTTATTTGTAACACCGACTTATAAGAAATTCACGCATATTTAAGGTGACTCGACTGTTGCTCGAACTTTCTTTACTGTATAAGATTTATACACAATGGCATGATAAATATCAATTATCCAGTCATTCAAGCGTAAATTGTTTGTACAAGATGAAAACGTTTCCACTCATTCAATCGTAACATGAAGATCGTTTTGTGAATGCATCCATTAGAGATATTTTCCTAACGCTTGTAGTTTAAAGGTTTGGTTGGCTTGCTTGCTTGCTTTGTTTGTATAAACGTTTGCTCAATCTTGATTACAATGATTAGGCAACATTTACACAATCAAGGCCAACCACACCTTTTAACTACAAGCATTAGGAAATTAGCTCTAATGACCTTTAATTTATTAGTATGCGATGTAGATTTAGACCGAAACAGAAACTTTGCTTTTCCGGTGACGTGGATTGGCTTAACTGTCCAAGATATATGTATAAGATGATGACGTGTCATAGGAAAGAATAAATTTTATCCTACATATAGATCAGGACAAATTATTTGAGAAAATAGAATTGATTATATTAGCAATAAATACCATGTTTAAGGAATTTATTGATATATTACCTCAGACTTTCACTCATTAAGTATGCATATATAATCAATCCTTCTGACTTCATAAATTTTGTTAGAGAGTCGGCTGAATTAAGACTTTATATAATGAAAATTAATTAATTTCTTTCTGTGAAAATGCATTGCATTTACAATAGAAATGAATCGCCCTACAGTGAAAATGAAAGTCTAGTATCATTATTCAACAGTAAACATGAATCGCATAACGAAAACAGCAAAAATTTGATTCAATATCAACAAGCTGAATAACAAAACCTGTTTTAAGTTAAATAACATTAATAATTATGTTAAAAAGTACATTTTTCTGCAAATGAAACTTAACTGCTACTTTTAAATCCCTTGCACGCTCTGTTCGTGAACTATTCTTAATATTTATCTATTTGTGTATCAATTTTGCACCTGGATGGCTGTAGGCGCGATGAAAACCCGTCAGCATCTCATACCTATATCATGAATTTATAAAAACAGTACACATTATATATTATTTCTTATTTTATTCAAAAATCTTGAATTTGTCGTCTGTTTATTTATCATTCTACATCAGAAATTCATCACGGATACAGTAAAAATGACATTTTAGGATTCGCACATTACATACACTGTAAAATTTAATTACCAACCTAATCCTTTTTAAGATCCTAGCAATTAATTATTATAATACATGAATATGTCTGCTCCTTTCTATTGTCTAAGTCAGATTTTCCATATTGGAGGGAGCACTTTAATTTTTGGAGCATGTATATACAAATATTCCCTTAAAGAATTTACAATGTAACTTAACCATTTTCAGAAACCACAACAAGTTTGAATAAAGAAAAGAGATTAAATGAGAATGAGACAGAAGACTTTATTCCTTTACCATATATAATCATATGTGCCATAGGTGGTGTAATGTGGGCAGTTATTCTCTTTCTTTTATGTTGTTGTGTACGTCAAGCAAGTCGAATTCAGAATTCCAAAAGGACTGTTGGGTGTAACACTTCACAAATTATTTATAGTAATGACGAAGTGGGAGGCGAACAGAATAATTTACTAGAGGACAATGAAGTCATCACAGTAGATAAAGTGGAGCTGACATTAGATCCTCTACAATTAGAGAGTAACCACTACGAAATTATCTTAGACAATTGTGCGACAAAATTCTGATTGGTAAACCATAAATTGGAACATCCACATATTCATAGGTATTACAGATTACAATTTCATCACTAGTGTATGCACAGATTTATGTAAAGGTTTTACTGACTAATTAACTCTAGGCTATTCAAAAAGATTCAATACATTTATCTGATTCCTTTTGCATCATCAATTTAACTCACATGTTATCATCAGATGAAGTTTGCATGTCCATTTATTTTATTTTTAGTATATTGAAAGTTTTGCAAATTATTATGTTGATACTAGCGTGATTAGCTGTCGATTGTATGTATCAAAAATAAAATCACCCTTCTCAATGAATACTTGTAATGTAGATTTATTCGCAGATGTTGTGAATCTGTCACAAAGCGTATGATTGTTAGTATCAGAAAAAGATTAAAAGAATATAGTATTTCTTTAAAGCTTGACTAGTCCAAATGCAATTTTGAGCTCTTTTCGTCACTTTGGATCGTTATCAATCAGTCAATATGTATGAAATTCTTTCTTCTAAAACATTTCAAATATTGGAACCGATTTTCAAGTTGTCCACTTTTTTCCTCAATCATAGTAGAGGAGCTTTTGTGTTAGTAGCAAACCACTGCTTAATGTAACCAAGCACATGCGTGTTAATATCAATTAAGACACGTAAATGAGATACGTTTGGGCAAAGAGTATGTTACCACATAGAAATGGGATGTTGAAAATGTGAAAACTGAAATCATGTGGAAGATACTAGCTTAATGTCATCCATCGATGTAAATTTCAAAAAGGAAAACCGTCTAAGAATACCAAATTTTCTTCGACATATGAGTTGCAAGCTTTATCTGAAATGCGGGTTTAATATAATATTTCTGCATGATATAGTTTGGATGATGTCAATTGTTCTTACGTTAGGCCCGTGTCTATTTTTATCACAGTTTGTTTCCTAAACAACCACATTTTACATATTTTGATAAGCCCTGTCTAACACAAATTGCACAGAAACGTAATGGATTGGAACAATTTGGAATCAACTTTTCGTTCCTATGTAGCAAAATTACGGAAACCCCTGCATATGACGTTTTGTATCTCACAACTCATACTTTACTAGAGAGCCTGTTGCCATTACAGAATCATTTGGACAGGGCTGACTCAAACAGGGGCGTGCTGTCCAACGATTAGCAACTAATCTCTAAGTATGTTATGGTCGTCTTCGTCATCACGGACTGATTGGCCGTTGGTCAGAATGATGCCCAATAATCCTTTTGATGCAGCAATTTGGTAGATATGGTCCGCTATATTTACCTGAAGACTATGTCTCTTTGGAGATCCTATATATTCAAACTGGTAACACCATTTACGGCACCCAGAATGAACCGTAAGTTGGAATATTTAAAACGAAAGGGTCGAAAATTTAATCGTATTATTACTGACTACAGAATTAAGTTGAACAACAAATTGGTGAATAAATAAAACTATAAAGTAATTAGTACATTATGGAGCATGTCAGGCTAAAATTAACATTTGAGAGACACTTGCTGTCCTTGTCAATTGACGTAAAACATTGTTTGATAACATTTACAATTTTATCAGCAAGCAAAGCCGGGCTTCAAGGATATTGGGAAATTACCCATTCTAGAGGCCGCGTGAATCAGATGTGGATACAAAAGAAATCCGAAGATCTGTTACTGTACATACGATCTAAGACCCTTTCATCTTGCAATTGTAATACAACATTTGATTTTTCTACACTTTACACAAGTATTCCCCATTCCAGGCTAAAAGACAAATTGAAAGAGTTGGTCCTGCTTTGTTTCATAAAACAGAATGGCAAACGTAGATACAAGTATCTTATCTTAGTTAGGGATAAATCGTACTTTGTAAAAAATCACTGTGATTCAAACCAAAAATTCTCTGAAACTGACATTATCAAGATACTTGATTTCTTGATTGACAACATATTTGTTATGTTTGGAGGACGTGTTTTTCAACAAGCAATCGTCATTCCCATGGGAAACAACTGTGCTCCTCTTCTTGTTAACTTGTTATTTCAATCGTATATAACTGACTTCATACAAGAACTTCTTAGGAAGAATGAAAAGAAGCTAGCTTTATCCTTTAACTTCACTTTCCGCTATAAAGATGATGTCCTCTCATTAAATAATTCAAAGTTAAGTGACTATGTTAAACGCATCTATCCCATCGAACTTGAAATAAATGATAAAATAGATGTCTGTCTCATATCTCGACTTACATCCACATATACAAATTGACAACGAGGGTCGGTTGAGAAAAAAACTTTACGACAAAAGAGATTATTTCAGCTTTCCAATTGTGAACTTTCCAATTCTATGTAGCAACATTCCAGTAGCGCCTGCATATGGAGTATATGTCTCCCAGTTGATACGATATACCAGTGCTTGCATTTCCTATCATGATTTCTTTGATTCCTTTTTGATTTGAGCAAGTAAAATATTTTTAAACTAAATTAAATTTCCAAAAAAAAAATGGTAGAGGGCTGCTGCCCACAAGGAAGTTATTAAACCAAGAAATCCAAGTGGTGAAGTTGAAATCGTCCCTTCGAAAATTTTACGGACGCCATCACGAGTTGGTTGGCCGTTATGGAATATCTGTTTCACAGATGACGACGGATATGTTCAAATCGTCGTAACCGCAGTTCTGTCGTCCTTTCCCCGAATGTGAACTACCGAATTAGACATATCACCGGGTCTCTACTTACAAGAGCAACATTACGGGTGCCACATATGGAGCAGGATCTGCTTACCCTTCCGAAGCACCTGAGATCACTCCCGGTTTTTTGTGAGGTTCGTGTTACTCAGTCTTCAGTCTTCTATGTTGGCCTTTTTCATGTTTTGCCATGGCGTTGTCAGTTAATTTTCAACTTATGAGTTTGAATTTCCCTTTGGTATCTTTCGCCTCCCTTTTACTACTAACTTAAAAGTAAAGTTTTTTTTTGTTTTGATTTTTTTTGTTTTTTTTTTTATTTCCCCAATTTTATCACGGAAGCTAGCAGCTCATTGTCTTAAAATATGAAATAAGATATTGAAGCCCTTCCTTTTCTTCACATTAAATTAAAAGATAAAAGTGAATTTTAACTACCCGTTGTGGTAAATATTACGGATATTACGGGCAATGCAGGCAAACATTTTTCCAAGCAAGTAAACCACAAAAGATCATTTCTAATTTTGAGACGACCCCTTACATTTCAACTGTCGTTGTCGAAGACAGTTGTTGAAAAGGTCTCATGGGATTGACGGGATTTATTCAGACTTATTAAGCTTTAATTGTTTGAATCAATATAGTTTCAAAACGTATACTTGAATACCTTTGTCGTTTTAAGCTGACACATTAGTCAACTTGCTGGGTCATATTTTTGAGACAATTTTGCTAGAAAGACAAACACTTACGTTCATCTATTTAGGGAATTGTTCTGTAAACACAATCTAGTTTATCAAATTACTCTACTTTACTTATCTTTGTTGGCAAAATTATTTTTCATTAAATAAACTCATCATAGATACCAGGATTGAAATTTTGTATTTGCGTCAGACGCGCGTTTCGTCTACAAAAGACTCATCAGTGACGCTCGAATAAAAAAAAGTTAAAAAGGCCAAATAAACATGCTCCAGCGTGTTACTCATTGAAGTCGGTGATAAGTCGCAATCGGTGATCACAATCGAGAAAAAGATTGAATATAAAAAATGACATAAAATGACAAAAGGACAATCAAAAGGCTCAAGTCGAGAAAAACAACCGACAACATCATAATTTGAAACTAAATACGAATAAAAGAAAAATAAGTCCACAAAACACTACATAGAAACTAAAGACTGAGCAGCATAAACCCCACAAAAACTGGAGGTTCTCAGGTATCCCGGAAGGGTCAACAGACCCTGCTCCACATGTGGCATCTTTCGTGTTGTTCATGTCAAGTCCAATTCGATGATGAGTCTCATTTAGGAATGTCAAAGTTGAGAAAAAGCGGACGGAATTGGAACATATCCTAGGTCATCTGCAACACAGATATTCATTAACGGTCATCCAAATCATGATAGCGTCCGTAAAACTTTGGAAGGAGTACTTTAACTTTACCATTAGTAATCCTTTGTTCAATAGCTTCACTATAAGTAGAAATCCTCAAAGAAATCATGGCACAAACTGCAAGCTCTGGAATATCGTATCACATTTGAAATATATACTCCATATGTGCCTGTCCCGAAAGGCAATGCTTATTTACTGCCATTTCCCTCTCGATTATCAACGAATAATAGTCATGAGTGTGGCTCTATGTTCTAGTTAGTGGAATGAATGTGGCTCTATGTCCTACTTTGTGGAATGAATGTGGCTCTATGTCCTAATTAGTGGAATGAATGTGGTTCTATGTCCTAGTTAGTGGAATGAATGTGACTCTATGTCCTAGTTAGTGGAATGAATGTGACTCTATGTCCTAGTTAGTGGAATGAATGTGGCTCTATGTCCTAGTTAGTGGAATGAATGTGACTCTGTGTCCTAGTTAGTGGAATGAATGTGGTTCTGTGTCCTAGTTAGTGGAATGAATGTGACTCTATGTCCTAATTAGTGGAATGAATGTGGCTCTATGTCCTAGTTAGTGGAATGAATGTGACTCTATGTCCTAGTTAGTGGAATGAATGTGGTTCTGTGTCCTAGTTAGTGGAATGAATGTGACTCTATGTCCTAGTTAGTGGAATGAATGTGACTCTATGTCCTAGTTAGTGGAATGAATGTGACTCTATGTCCTAGTTAGTGGAATGAATGTGGCTCTATGTCCTAGTTTGTGGAATGAATGTGACTCTGTGTCCTAGTTAGTGGAATGAATGTGACTCTATGTTCTAGTTAGTGGAATGAATGTGACTCTATGTCCTAGTTTGTGGAATGAATGTGACTCTATGTCCTAGTTAGTGGAATGAATGTGGTTCTATGTCCTAGTTAGTGGAATGAATGTGGCTCTATGTCCTAGTTAGTGGAATGAATGTGACTCTATGTCCTAGTTAGTGGAATGAATGTGACTCTATGTCCTAGTTTGTGGAATGAATGTGACTCTATGTCCTAGTTAGTGGAATGAATGTGGTTCTATGTCCTAGTTAGTGGAATGAATGTGGCTCTATGTCCTAGTTAGTGGAATGAATGTGGCTCTATGTCCTAGTTAGTAGAATGAATGTGACTCTATGTCCTAGTTAGAGGAAGGAATGAGACTCTATGTCCTAGTTAGAGGAATGAATGTGACTCTATGTCCTAGTTAGTGGAATGAATGTGACTCTATGTCCTAGTTAGTGGAATGAATGTGACTCTATGTCCTAGTTAGACGAAGGAATGAGACTCTATGTCCTAGTTTGTGGAATGAATGTGACTCTATGTCCTAGTTAGTGGAATGAATGTGACTCTATGTCCTAGTTAGAGGAAGGAATGACACTCTATGTCCTAGTTTGTGGAATGAATGTGACTCTATGTCCTAGTTTGTGGAATGAATGTGACTCTGTGTCCTAGTTAGTGGAATGAATGTGACTCTGTGTCCTAGTTAGTGGAATGAATGTGACTCTATGTCCTAGTTAGTGAAATGAATGTGACTCTATGTCCTAGTTTGTGGAATGAATGTGGTTCTATGTCCTAGTTAGTGGAATGAATGTGACTCTATGTCCTAGTTAGTGGAATGAATGTGACTCTATGTCCTAGTTAGTGGAATGAATGTGGTTCTATGTCCTAGTTAGTGGAATGAATGTGGCTCTATGTCCTAGTTAGTGGAATGAATGTGACTCTATGTCCTTGTTAGTGGAATTTGAAGCGTTATCAACCACATATGTTACTCATTATAAGTTATATGCATGGTACTTTCGTGGATATTTCATATATGATATAGTTGTTTTCGCTGTCTTTGTACGTTTTCGTCTTTGGAGAATTTCGTATAAGGATTAGAAATTATAGTTTTGATTATTTTCATCTTCTGAATGACTAATGATAACGAGAAGTTGGTACAATTATTTTCCCGCCTTTTAATGGTGAAATATTTATTAAAATAAATCAAGTTTAAAAAAATATTTACCAATGTTTCTCCATGAGAATTCAATAGAATATGCATTGTTTGTTATTAAACAAAATAAGAAAATAAAAACGTAGGGGCACATGTAAGATAGATTCTAGCTTTCAATATACTTTTAATTTTGATTTAAAATGTCCTTCCTTTTCATTTTGACGATACTTACTCCAAATTAACCGAAATCTTACATAAATTCTGTTTTAGGTCATCTGTAGACATTTATGATTTGATTACGGTTTCGAAATACGCCGTAATGTTGCTAGAGCCTAAGCCTAAGTACACACATTCAGCTGTCGTACTGTGAATATCATTAGACTTTTTTTAATGACCATAGCGTCAAATTAATTTCATGGGAATTTGGTTCGACCGCTTTCCTTCCATATGAAATCGTGTGAAAGGATTTTATTGATATATATTCCTCTTTAACTCTTCATTCCGACAACTAATGAACTATGACACGTTTATGTTTTACACACAAAAAGTTTGCACCATGTACCTGAAAATGTCGATGTGCCATTTCACAAGCATTGAAACTTTTGTTTAAAAAAATGATTTTATAAAAAAATCCATATGTTTACATCTAGAGATGTACTTTTTTCACAGGTATGCGTCGGTGGGATATTGTATTGTTGGTGTTAAGACGGAATCTATTATCATATGCGCGCAGAAATGCAAACACATTCAAAATACTTCAGTGCAATTTTAAATATCCATACATACCGACTGCTAACGATATCCTGATTTAGATCACAGGATTAATGATTTACTTCCTTAATTATTATATTATAATTTGAGTGACCAATCTTTTTGATGAATTTCCTGTTTTTTTGTGTGTTTTTTGTTGGATTGCTCAGTGTATAGTTTACGTATACCCCTCGTCTCCTTTTGTTCATATAAAAAGGAAGAACCATTCCATTAGCACTTCTTCTGAAACCTTCACACAGAAAAGAACCACCTCCTCTAGAGTATTTGTTTGGTTGCATATATGTACTTTTCCTCCTTTTTATTTTTCTTTTTTTCATTGTATACTTCTTTTTCATGTACATATTTTTTTCAAACCAAACTGTTTTGCTATGTTGTTACTCAATAACGAAAACAAACAAAATGTTTTCCCATTTTTCCGAAATCAGTATCCTGAATTGAAGTCGCATAAACAAGAAGTGCTAGTTTCCACCTTTTTAAAAAAGAATTACAGTGCTCATAATGCATCCGCTGATGTACAAATACTGAAAGAATTAGTTGAGTTTATCAAATGCAGTATCAATGAGTTAAGTCCATACTCATTTACCACCACTTCGTGTGCTATATGCTTGAAACAAAACATGGTATCAAAGGAACGACTAGTAATCCTAAAGCCTTTAACAGAAAGAAGCGCGATTTCGACATCAACGGCAAAAAGATATCGGATAGTGGTTTGGACTTATTTTAACTGCAAATGGCTAAAAGACGAGATACGGACAACGGCATTAGACTAGTGCTGGCTGAGAAGAATAATAGAAAACCTCGCGTTACTGCTTGCAGAAGAGTAGCTTCTAAGATTTCGGATTACTTTAATTGATAAAATAAATAGACATTATCTTTTAAATTGTGTCTGTTTCTGTAAGAAGGGCAACCTCTCATGCATTTAGAATTAATAAATGGCTATCCCCTCCCCCCGCCCCCTACTAAAGACCGATCTTTTAACAGAAAAGATGACTCCTGAACGTGGGTATATTTGCTAAGCTCTTTCTTGTTGTTGTTATAAAATATTCTTATTTATTTAGTTCCTTGTGTTGTATGACTTCATCTACTTCCATCTATTTTTGTATCGCATTCTTGTGGCTTTGATAGTTGTTGGGTAAATGCACCCGAGTTGAAGCAGTAAACCTGGTCATTTTACTGAAAATGTAACTTGATGATATAGTACGGATCTTTTACTTCCAAACTATGTTAGTATCATAATTTGACAGTACTAGATTTGTACTTCAAATTTGACATACCACTTTAGTACCTCCGTAGTGTAGTTCTATGGATGTACAATAAATATATAGTACTACTGTTTAACTATAATTTGTTAGGATATTTTACTGAAAGTGTTATAATTTTAGGTCATCGCACGGCATTGAACAATGAGCAAATCCATACCGTATAGTAAGCTGTAATTTAAGGCTCGGCATGACAAAATGTAAAACAATTGATTCAAACGAGAAAAATAAAAAACGAAAACAAAATATGACAGACAACAACCAACAACAACGACAGGCACATACAGGATGAGGCTGGATTAGACATGATTGCGAGCGCTCAACCCTTCCCATTCACTTGGAAAGTTGTGTAAAAGCACACCAAAAGATCAAACTGGAAAAATCAGTTGAAAAGGACGACTCATTAGATCGACACGAAACACAAATATTAATTAGCAAAAAATCACTAATTGAGATATTAGTTGATCGCATATATTGCTTTACGCCACTTTTAGATTGTAAACATGTCTGTGCTTAAACTAACTGCTGTGTGTACATTAATAACATTTGTTTATTGTAATTAAAAAAACAACAACATTTACAACGGAAAAAAATGACGGGCATATTATTGGTCCCTAACCCGTGAAATTCATCAACAACTCTATATAACGTTTAAAAACGTTGCTTTCCGAATTGGCGTGATTTGTTCCCGCCATTTCATTTTTTTAAATCTTATTTCGAAATATCTTTTTATCCGGTACAGTGCCCCTACTTTTTTTCTTTTATTTTGATTTATAAATAAAAATGAATATTGTATTGAATTCTTCTGGAAAAAACATTGGCCAATCTTTTTTTAAATTATTGGATTCAACATAGATATTTCACAATAAAAAGACGGGAAAATTGTTCAAGCAACTTATCGCTATCTTTTGTTCCTAAAAAGATGACATTATCAATAATGTAGTTTCTACAAACAATAAGGTTAACAAAAGAAGCAATTTTCAAGTGATTCGGACTTTTTACAGAAATGTAATGGCAAAGAACTGCAAGTTCCGATTTCCAAATTCTTCGAAAAAGATGGCGTTTTAAATCGAAAACGAGGTCGGTGACCCTATTTTTTTATTGGCTTATTTTAAAGCTTTCAATAAGACTAAAGTTGAAATATAATTTTAAAGAAGATAATATTGGTAGATCTGAATAGAATGATTTGTCTTTGATTTGTTGCAGGATACATATTTAAGCGCAATTGAAGTAATACAGTTACGAAATTGTCAAATATGATTTTATAACAAAATGTAAAGTCTATTAATGAACTTTCAAGTACAAATTTGTCTCTATGTATTAGAGTATTGTTCACAATACAATTAAAGATCTTAAGTCAATTCAGTGGTAATGAATTTGCCAGCTTATGCTCATCTAATATATGAATACACTTATGAAAAGGTCTTTTTGCTGTAAATACTGTATACAGAAATCATTCAACTTAAATACACATTGAATGCTAAAACAGTTGCATTCGCTCAAGGATATTTTAAATGAATTTTTGAAAAATGTTTTTGAACATGAAGTAAAAACATTGGCTTACTCGTCATTAGTTTTGGGTGTCCGTGATGTATAAAAACGCAGCAACGTCCTTTTGGAATGGGACATTAAATCCAATGTCTTATGTACTGCGAGTACAAGCACTCCGCTTTCTGCACCTTGCAACAACTTTAAGAAGGGTTCGTAGTTGACCTGTTACAATTCAAAATGTCTGTCCCTTTCTACTATATCATCATTCCGGTTGATCTTCCTTGTAGACCCTACCTATTTTATGAATTATTAATTTGTTCTCGACCTTAAACATCAGCATTAAAAATTTGCCACTGGAGTTGATCCCTCAACATTCAATTTATTATTCAAATGTTTCGTTCAAATATGAAAACAGTACGTCCATTGTTATTTAATATAACCAGTTCATTCGATTCGCTGTCAAAGTCAACACTAAGCGGATTATCAATTCTTTCATTTCCATTCAACAATAATACACAACTCTCCTGTGAAATATTAACTACACCAATTTTGTTTTGATTGCAGGACGAAACAAAAAGGCTCCCACTTGAATCAGATGTGACACAGTTAATGTTTCTAAAAGTTTCCATCTTGCTGGTTTTGATATCTGAGGAGTTAATATTAAGATAAATTAATTTGGACGAGTAAAGCTGAACTGCTGCTATTGTTTCAGTGGTTATTGAACAAAATAGCATAGCACCTTTTATTAGTGAAAATGTTTTACTTATTTTTCCTTTCAGGTCCATAATTAGTATTCCTCGATCTTCACAATTAACAACAAGAAATCCGTTAATAAATGCTATACCAATACATATGTCTCTAAGTGGGATTAGTCCTTTGAACTTGTACGAGGTTGTATCAACAATTACGACGGCTTTGTGTGCCGTTACGGCTGCTGTGTTTCTGTCGATAATAACAGCCGAAGTTGCCGGAAATTCCATATGAATTTCACCTTTTCTACCTCCAGATTTATTGTACACTAATAACTTCTTCATGGCATTTCCACCAATAAGAACACGATTTCTATGAATGACTTTGATAAATTGAATATCACTTTCTGCCACACTATCGTTTTTTTTTATTTTGAAATGATTTTTGTAACTTAACGCTTTGTTTTTGCGAATTTCACTGCAAGGAGGTAAAGGGAGAACTCTATATCCTGGGGAATTTTTCATCTTAGTTAGATTTTCCTCTGATTCTATGCTTGAAGAGGTTTCCAGATCACTGTCATTATCAACAATTTGATGAAATGGTTTCGTCTTAAATTCAAACATTTTTGTCATCTTCATGGAATAATTTCCCTCTTCAATTTCAGTATCGATTATGCAGTTGCAATCTAGTTTTGATGACGAAGCTATGAATGTTTCGATTACAGACTCGTCGTCGTGTAGTTCTCTTCCTAATTTCTGTTGTAGTAAAAATAGCTTTTCATTTGGAATTATGTTTATACCAAATATATCTTCAATAATGTTTCGACGTTTTTCAATTTCTTTAGTTTTTTCTAAAAAGTCACCTCGTTGCCTAAGAACGTCGTCTTCTTGTGCTTGAAATAACTTCTCAATTTCTCTTTTTGTCTCCGATTCGAAATTGTCTAAGGCCTTTTCAATACGCTCCCTGTTAGTCTGCAAATTTTCATAACACATTTGCTTCTTCATAGCAAGTTCTGAAATGTTTGTGTTTGCATTTACTGTAAGCATTTTCAGATTGTTTAAGTTCTTCTCTATTCGGACAGAAAAATTGTCACACACTTCCTTTATATTACCGATTTCTATAACATCTTTTATCTGCACAACACTTTGGCATAACTGATGACGATAATCTTTACATAAAACACAACAAGGACAATTATGAGACTTGCAAAAGTATTGCAGATCTTTTTCTTGATGTTCATTACATGTGAATTGTATTTCAGCAAGTGTTCGCAAAACACATTTATATTTCTCAATAGAAATCATGTTATGTTCTTTTGTTGCAGTAAGGGCGTTGTGATAGTTAAAGCATGTTTTGCACAAAGGTTCTTGGCACGATATACACCAATATTCTCCAATTCTATATCTTTTTAACTGGCTACACGGCTCGCATTTAAACCTTTCCATCGTTAACTGAAACTAAAGAGAAATACTGAAAAATTAGCATCAATATATATATATATATATAAACAAGTCTAAATTGAAAACAACGTTCAAACCTATGATTGCGTTGGATAAAAACTGCAATTTTTATACGTGTGCATGCAAAACAAATTTCTTGATAGAGGGGTCTAAAAACAGCACAAATAACATTTTCCAAAAGACTAAAAAAATGAAAAAGTATATTTTAACAAAGAACATCTGTTGCTCGACCTGTTAGTCAAATGCGTTTTGTTAAAATATAATTTTTCACTTTTTTGGTCTTTTGGAAAATGTTGTTTGTGCTGTTTTTAGACCCCTCTATCAAGAAATTTGTTTTGCATGCACACGTATAAAAATTGCGGTTTTTATCCAACGCAATCATAGGTTTGAACGTTGTTTTCAATTTAGACTTGTTTATATTTTGCGTTTGGGCTTGTATTATATTTTCCTTCGGGTTTATATGATCCGTTCATCCTATTTCTAATATTTCGACTCTTCAAAATTCAGAGTCTTTCCTAAATGGAGGTAAATTATATGGCCTTCCAAATACCGTTTCGATCCTTAACATCACTGAAGAGACATTAATTGTCGAAATCCGGATATGGTGTACTAATTTTTGCACCTTTTGTTTGCGGTATACCATCTTTTTCGCAAGTTTATTGTTTTCTATTTGGTATTAAATTTATAAATTTCAAAAGATCCATTTTGTAACATCTTGTAATCCGTTTATTTGGCAATCGCCAATGGCAGTCAGCAGGGTTTAAGAACATCTGTTGTTCGACCTGTTAGTCAAATGCGTTTTGTTAAAATATACTTTTTCACTTTTTTGGTCTTTTGGAAAATGTTGTTTGTGCTGTTTTTAGACCCCTCTATATATATATATATATATATATATATTTTGTCTGTGCTGTATTTAGACCCCTCTACCAAGAAATTTTTTTTGCATGCACACGTATAAAAATTGCGGTTTTTATCCAACGCAATCATAGGTTTGAACGTTGTTTTCAATTTAGACTTGTTTATATTTTTTCGTTTGGGCTTGTATTATATTTGCCTTCGGGTTTATATAATCCGTTCATCCTATTTTGACTCTTCAAAATTCTAGAGTCAATCCTAAATTGAGGTAAATTATATGGGCTTCCAAATACCGTTTCGATTCCTAACATCACTGAAGAGACATTTATTGTCGAAATCCGGATATGGTGTACAAATTTTTTGCACCTTATGTTTGCGGTATACCATCTTTTCCGCAAGTTTATTGTTTTCTGTTTGGTATTAAATTAATAATCAAGATCCATTTTGTTACATCTGGTGATCCGTTTATTTGGCAATCGCCATGGCAGTCAGCAGGGTTTAAGAACATCCGTTGTTCGACCTGCTAGTCAAATGCGTTTTGTTAAAATATACTTTTCCACTTTTTTGGTCTTTTGGAAAATGTTGTTTGTGCTGTATTTAGACCCCTCTACCAAGAAATTTGTTTTCCATGCACACGTATAAAAATTGCGGTTTTTATCCAACGCAATCATAGGTTTGAACGTTGTTTTCAGTTTAGACTTGTATATAAATATATTTATACTCGACGTCATTTCGAATCTGCTGGACGATCATACCACATCTCCTTATTTTTACGAGGATGAAATCCGAAGTTTTATGCTACCAATTAGAATTTTTTTTATTTCAATGCCGTTTACAACAGGAATCATGGAACCTTGTAACAAAAAAATTTGTTCCGGCGTGACATTTGTTCTTAAAGTTTATACCCGGAATATATAGTATAAGGAAATATGTTCCAGCACTGTAAAATTTGCTCAGGAACTATTTTTTGACCAAAATTTCCAGAACAAAAATCACAGCTCCATGAATTGTGTTCCAATATTTTAAAAATGTTTAAAAAAGGTGAAATAAGTTCCTGTGACACATAGGTTCCCAAGGAATTATATATTTCATAGAAATTAATGAATAAGTTCCGCTCGAAACTATTTCACAGAAAATAAGTTCCTTTGCAACATATTTCACAGCGGAACATTTTCTTGTTACACTTAAATAAAAATGCAAGCTGGATGCTGTACTGAGCTTGCATGTGGGTACATTTGCAATTGAAGGCATGACTGCAACTCTAGGATGAAGAATAGAAATAAAAGCGATGGTAATATATTATAATTTGTATTTGTTTACGTTTTATGTGGTATTCCTCCTTTTTTCCTGTTAACTGTCAATGGTGTTATAGTTTAACGTGATATTAACCTTATATTAAGCAAAACATTCTATAGTTGTACCTGATAAATTTAATACTCATCATTGAAGTCTTTAAACAACACGAGAACATTCAAAATATGGTTAATCTTTTAGAAATTCAAATTAAGTCAGCATGTATATTGTACGCAGATAATATGATTAAAAAACAAATGCACAACTAAGATTAACAACTGTGATAAATATTTTAAACATACTATTTCAATTTTCTACAAATTAACATATGTTTAATTGCAATATTCACTCCACAGGATCCGTATTGGATGTTCACACTTTTTAGTTATTATTACATTATCAATATAATACATGTTTTTATAATGTACATGAATGATAACTTTAAACTCAATGATGACAATGCTCAGTATTAAGGATAACTTGTATAACAAGTGGAACATATTTCACAGACAAGGAACTTATTTCACCAGGTAAGGAACAAATTTCACAAACCCAGAACTTATTTCACCAGGTAAATTGTGGAACTTATTTTATAGAAGTGGAAAAAATTATATAGAAATTATCTGTGTAAAAAGTTCTCTCAGAATATGTTTCCTGTGATATTTAATCCACTAGATTTTTTTTCACAGGAACAAATTGTGGCTCACATATGCACGGTAATTTTCATGCTACATCATTGATCGATCAAATATCACTTACTGCTAGACTTAAGCTAAAGATTCACATATGAACTGTCGTTTAAAATCGGGACTACCCTCCGTGTTTCCGGCACAGAAGACGTCTCATCCCCTGAAAAGGACGTCGGTGTTTAATTTGAGGGAACTTCTGCCATTCCTGTACGAAAGAAGGCTCATTTCAGCGAGTGTTGTACATCATGATTCTCTCTGTTTAACTTTTCGCCACATGTGTTCAATGGGATGCATGTATTGTGATATGGATGGACATGGTATAGTGTCAATTGATTCAAGTTCTTCATGAAAAAATGTTTTATAATCCAAACACGATGAGGTCGAACATTTGTATCCTGAAAGATAGGTTAATCAGCCAAAGCATGACCAACAAAATGTGGTGAAACAATTCTATCAAGAATGTCATCATGGTTCTTTTGACCAGTCAGGATACCGTCAAGAATATAAAGATCCAACTTTCAGCCATGTTCAAAGCACCGAATAGTGTTACGCTACCGTCTCCAAACGTTCATGTTCCAAGAACATCATTGTTTTATTGGCCGTGTTTTATCTCTCCAAACTCGAATTCTACCCTTAACCGGTTTCTCTTCTGGCCAATGGATTCTTCTCCAATGGTGAATTTTTCATTGTTGATGATTCCTAGCGCCTAAAGATTTGTTCCTTACAATGCCTTATAGAAATTCTATGCCTTACAGTAAGTTCTGGTCGTTTGATTTGTCAGTGAGCCAGAATACAGAAACTATGCAGCCTGCGTAGGACAGTTCTCATATTCTAAAAAAAATCAGTAACACGAAAATTGCCCAACAAGTGTTTTAAAAACCCATTTTGGACAATCAAAATCGATTCAATTAAAAGTTCATCTCTATCTTTCAGTTACCTTTATTTTACAATTTGCAGATGAGACAACCTGATTTTTATAATTTTTATTGTGAAAGAAATATTTTAAATATTAAAATTGGTGGTGATTAACTTTTGTCCGAGTGTTTATAATAGACGTGTTATGAAAGGGATTTAAATACTGCGCTGATGTTAAATACCAATACCGATACAAGATTTAAGTGTGGACTTTCTCAAAATGCAATTGCATTGAAAAGTATCCCGGCTTAGTGACTAGTCTAGTTTAGCTTTGTGGTGTGTTTAATACAACATGAAGCGAACGGTTAACGTCGACTCTAAATTTTAAGACGTGCATTGGCCTTACGTAGATCTTCATACATTCATTTGTATGTGTTTGATTAAGGAGTGCAAAACAAAACTTAAAAAAAATATATGTAAGAGTCAAGAATGGGAATGACGGATTTTACGGCCACAAGTCCAAATACATGCATTAAGTTATATGGTTAGAATATGTTTAATAGTTAAATAACTCAGTTTGTCTCTCCACATGCAATATAAGAAAAAAAAAACAACTTCCGACCCTTCACCGAAACGTAAATTTAACATGCTTGATAATGTCCAAACGTTGTAATCTTTTAAAACTGAATTCGATAACCTCTCTTTTCCGAAAAACTAACTGATAAAAGTTCATAGAAAGAAAATGTCAGGGAAAATGTGAATAAGAATAATTAATTCACACATTTTAACGTTTTTTAGGTATTGTCGCTTTTCAACATTACATTAAAGATATAAAGATAATCAAATGTCAAGTACATAAATTTCTAGTTTTGTTTATTTTTAGAATTTTACGCTACTGTGTAACTCATTTCTCTATTCTAGAAAATGATATAAAATAAGATGTGGTATGTTTGCCAAAATAGACAACTATCTACCAAAGACCAAATGACGTAAATGTTTGCAACTATATGTCACTGTATGACCCCCAACATGCAGCAAAACCCATTCCGTATAAAAGAAAGACCCCGACATGACAAGAATATTTTAAATAAATTTCAAATAAACGAACGTTTTCAACAAAGATTCATTTGATGTAGAGTAAAAAATCGGATTCGAATGTGATTTGATTCCTGTGGTTTTTTTTTATTCATTTATTTTGATCACTTTGTAGATTTTCCTTGTCTAGTAGTCGTTCAACAAAATAGTTAAGACATGGGGGAACAACGATCTTAAACTTAATCGATCACTACTATGAAACAATGCAATTTAAAGAATAATGATCGTGTTGTTTTGCTGGATCCTCGTCCGTGTATTGCGGAATAAATTGTTACTATTTATTGTTTAAAAATCATCTCAGCAATATCAAACAAACCCATACAGGTAACTATAATGAATGATTATCTGTTCTTTTTTAGATTATCCCCACTAAAGCCTGTAGTGGTATTGGTATTTAACATCAGCGTCAAAATCGTATTGACTTTCCTAACACGTCTTATGAAAGCCATTTTTAGTTTAATTTATGCCAACAACAACAACAACAAATGCCCATTCATAAAATTGAAACAAAGCCTGTGCAAGGATATGAATCTCGATCGTCTTAACCACATCTAAATATGATATATTTACTGCAGCATTGACGTATCAGAATTGGCATTAAAGGTCGATTTGTTTTTTTATTTGGGGATGTTTTGAAAATCAATATGCTGGCATAGTTATAACTAAAAATATATAATGAAATGCATAAGCTTGCCTTGTCTTAGTATCGTCAGCATACGGTCGTCACCATTTGTTTACACAATATGCCAATAGACAGATATGTCTCTACAATACAATATGGAAAGGTCTTTATAAAACACAGCTACTTACTGGTAAAATGTTTCTTCCTGTTACATCCTGCATAAACATGTTTACTTAACAGCTGTAAAAACGTACCGCTTCTATAAACACTACTTTTTTTTCATATTTTACCTTTTTTCTAAAATATTAATCAAATTTAACTCGTTGATAAAATTCATTTTATAAACACGACATGAGTACTTTCCACTAAAAAAGTGAATATCAAAAGCCAAACTTTTAAGATTTACCATTTGTTCACAATTTGTTTTGTTGTTGGTATAATATATAAACATTTCCATTCATAAATTAAAAGTTTTTTGCATAACAGTTTATAGAAATTTGTAACTTGTTTCAAAAACAATTTATATAATCACAAGAATAATCAATGTTAAGAGCTAATATTTTCAAATAATAGAGAGAGAAAAAAGTAATCCAATGAAATTTTAACACAACATTAGGATAGAGGGAAGAACGCTCCCTTTCGATTTAAAAAACATTGTATTGTTCTAGAGTTGCGGAACTTTAGCAGTCAGATTTAAGGCATTTTTTTCACATATCGCTCACATACTCACGTCTTTTCGGATTGATTTCGTCACTGTTCTGACTCAGAACTTTACACTATTGTACGGATTTATAAAAAGAACCTTCCTTACGATTTTTCTGGTTTGCCGTTCTAGAGTTTTAAGTCATATTTGACGCAATGAATATACGCCTAAAGATATCCTCATGCATTTTTTCTACAGAGCCATTTTACTAACCTCATATTTGTTGCCTTCTAAATATTTAATTTTATTCTCGCAACAATTGTAAAATATACAATACAGACATACTATATGCTCTTGGCGCAGCTGAATATTTTGAGCATGTTATCGTTTTTTATAGCAAAAAAATGGTTACAAAATTTTAATTTATCAGTTGAATTTTGTTAGACGAAGATCTCTTTATTCCTTTCTGCTTTAGGAATTAACCCTTGACAATGGTATATTTATTCAATTGCTCAGTATATTAGACGTGTCCAAACCATGAAATCAGTGATTCATCAGTATATAATTTTATCAATTGATTTATAAACTTTTAAAATGCACTAGTTAAGGTGCGAGTATTTAAATAAAGAAGGTAATGCACTACCATCGTTTATTTTTTTGTGTATATTTAAATGTCTGCTTGGGTTTTATTGTGTTTTCGTACTAGACGTGTTACGAAATAGACCTTTTCAACAACTCTCGACACCGACTAATGACACCTACAGTTTACAGGTAAAATTAAGGGGTCGTCTCAAAATTAAAAATCATTCATGAATTGTATTGCGTTTACACCTTCGATTTGTCGATTTTACGCTAAAGACTAAAGAACATATTTCAAACAAATATGAATTATAAGGATCTCTTGTGTATAACATTCTAATTACATGTATTTATACATTTTACGTTGATTTTTTTAACGTTCAAGTAAATAATTACTGCAATCATGTCACATCGTAATCTGCCTTTTTTCCTCTTAAATTTTAGGATTATGTGAGAATTTAGATAAGCGAGTCAGTCAACGCAGATTGTTCCACATGCCAATAACGATTATTTCGTTTTTGTAATGCTATTTGGAGAATTTTGCGGAAGGAACATTGTAAGAGGACTGTCCGTCCGCCCGATATATTTTGTGTTTCTCAACCGATCATCAGGTCACTTGTTGTACACATTAAATTTTAGGAGGGGTAAAAGCCTATTGGTTTAAAGGTCAAAGGAAAAGGCAACATCGATAATTTAGTAACGAGGGACTACTCCGCTTCAAGATGCCATGTTAAAGTTGAGGTGTTTCCTTAATGAACTTGAAACATTAATGGCACCATATTTTCAGCGCCACATGTGCATTTTGACAATTTTTTAAAACGTCTCTTCAGTGATGCGTATGGTATATTTATCTCAACAGAGCTTAATTTGTTGTCATTGCAATGTCTTTTTGGACAGAGCTGAACTGATTGACCGTTATATGTTGCACGTCTCCCGAAAGACAACATATCTTGTCCCTTTGTCTTAGATTCCTTTCCCTGTTCCCGAAAAATGACATTCGTGTGTCTTGCAAGAAGCAAAATGAAACATTGAATTCCTTCCTTTTCTTCATAGTCAATTCACAAATAAGTTAAATTTTGATAAGCAAATAGTTGAATGTTGAATAGTTGTCTCATTGGCAATTAAAATAATCATATGCGATCAATAATATTTTTTAAAATTTATTTTAATTTTTGAGACGACCCCTCATGTCTCACCTGTCGTAGTCGTTCTCTACTGAAGGTGTAGACAATTGTTGAAAAGGTATTGGACATTTTGGAAAATTATTCGATACCGACGCTTACACCTACACCTATGCCTACAGGTAACTTTTTTGAGAAGGGGTCATCTCAATATGTACAACGACCACAGGCATTTATATTATATTTTTTTCTAATCTACATTTTAAACACTCTTTAAAACTTTTATTTTGGATGATTTGCTCCTTTATTAGGTCTGTTTAGTAGCTGAGAATTGATCGATCTAAATATTGTACTTTGTAAAACAAATAGTAAAACTTTAATCAGAAACAGGAACGTGTAAAGTCTTTTAAAGCGTGAAACAGAACGTATAGATATAAAGATGATTGTATGTGTTATCTTGGTGTAATCATGGGTGTACGGAATTTTACAACGGTGTTGAAAATACATTGTAAAATTCCGTACACCCCTGATAAAACAAAGAAAACAAATTTTTATTTCTTATGAAACTTTCCTTTACTAGTTTTGATACCTGGGTATGAAATTGAAAAGTTTTAGGAAAAACTTCCACTTCACAATTCAACACTTGTTTTGCCGCGCACGTTGTCAAATATAACTTTGATATAACTAGGCTGAAGCTATCGAACAATAACTAGCGAACAATAAGCCAGCGAACAATAAGGCGATATATATAAAAACCGAAAAAATGAATAAGACAGCAACGGCCGTTAAATGAAAAATATTTAAAAAGGCAGAAATTCCGTCCAAATATTGCAATTTCAACTCTATCATGAAATGGTATTTATCCCATCCATTGATAAAACTAGTCACATCTCGTTTTAGGCTGATATTCAGTACCACAGTAAATCTGCATCTGTCAACGGACCACCGATGCACCCACTTCAATTTAGAACGTATGTAAAAGTAGTCCTTCCCTGTAAAATAAAGCACCTTTGATGTCATCGTTTAATTGAACTAAGATACACATTTGCAAAAATGGGGGTTGGCCTATTCCATGGCTTCTAGAGAAAAATAATGAGGGGTGTCTAGGAGTATGACTATATAGGTCTTGTAGAGGAGAAAAAGGCGCATCTTTTGCGCAAGGTATCGAAGGGCGCTATGTTCAAAAATCTGAAACTGGAGCTCAAAATTTGAAAAAAAATTGTTAAAAACAGGGGGGTTGGCCTATTCCATGGATCATAGAGAAAAATAATGAGGGGTGTCACGGGGTATGACTATATAGGTCTTGTAGAGGAGAAACAGGCGCATCTTTTGCGCAAGATATCGAAGGGCGCTATGTTCAAAAATCTGAAACTGGAGCTCAAAATTTGAAAACAAAATTGTTAAAAACAGGGGGGTTGGCCTATTCCATGGAATCTAGAGAAAAATAATGAGGGGTGTCACGGGGTATGACTATATAGGTCTTGTAGAGGAGAAACAGGCGCATCTTTTGCGCAAGGTATCGAAGGGCGCTATGTTCAAAAATCTGAAACTGGAACTCAAAATTTGAAAAAAAATTGTTAGAAACAGGGGGATTGGCCTATTCCATCGCTTCTAGAGAAAAAAATGAGGAGTGTCACGGGGAATGACTATATAGGTCTTGTGGAGGAGAAACAGGCGCATCTTTTGCGCAAGGTATCGAAGGGCGCTATGTTCAAAAATCTGAAACTGGAACTCAAAATTTGAAAAAAAAATTGTTAAAAACAGGGGGGGTTGGCCTATTCCATGGCTTTTAGAGAAAAATAATGAGGGGTGTCACGGGGTACGACTATATAGGTCTTGTAGAGGAGAAACAGGCGCATCTTTTGCGCAAGGTATCGAAAGGTGCTATATTCAAAAATCTGAAACTAGGGTTCAAAATTTGGAAAAAAAGATAAAAACAGGGAGGTTGGCCTATTCCATCGCTTCTAGAGAAAAATAATGAGGGGTGTCACGGGGTATGACTATATAGATCTCGTAGAGGAGAAACAGGCGCATCTTTGGCGCAAGGTATCGAAGGGCGCTATGTTAAAAAATCTGAAACTGGAGCTCAAAATTTGAAAAAAAAAATGAAACGGTCCCTATATTTTTATAGTCCGTGAAGGTATCAGTGTCGGTGTAAGTGTCACCGAGACGACTTTTCGAAAATGTCTAATAGTATATACTCGACGCTGAGGTTGACAAGTTTAGAGATTTAAATTACCTGTGTATCATTTCAACTGCATATAATACTGTTAACAGATGTCCGTTTAGAAGCATTTTTATAGACATTGTCATAATCAATATTCCTTATGGGACGAGTATTCGATAAAATTTATTCCGCGAGGAATAAATATTACAAATTCCATAATGTTTCTTCCAAATGGAATACTAACAGGGGACAAGGGATTGCAAAAAAAATAAAGGGATCCAAAAGAAAGGAGAGTAGGGAAGCCGCAAGAAAAGATTCTGATATGAAAGAAACAAATCCCCTGGCCTCAAATATAAATTAAAGCTATATATATATATATATACTTGGTGTTCTTAATTTTTGCGTTTTCAAAATCAGTATTGATCTAGAGGTCCGTTGATGGCCTGATGCCAGGCAAAATTTCTGTCCCTATCAAATATATCCTAATTTTCCAGTAGCAGTCAAAATTTCCCGACCTTCATTCCGGACGGCCTCTACTACAGGACCGTGCCGAAAAACTATACGGCTGGTTGTTACATGTACCAGTCCGTTTCTTTCGTAACTTTTGTTTTGTATCTGACTTGTACGACGTTTTTGGTTAGAAAATGAAACATTTTGCATTTTAAAGACGATTGCAAAATTAAAGAGATTTAGCAGAAAAAAA